GGTTGGGGTTTTTGATCAGCAAGTTCAGAAAGCATAAGATAACAAGTGAAAAGAAACGTATACTCTTCTTCCTTCGCATCAGCCATAAGGGTCATTGCTGTATAACACTTCATCCACGTACATGGGAATAACTAGCTCAGAGAAACGTGAAGAACACACACTAGGAAATTTGGAGAAAAGAACAAACTTTTCGACATGCTTGACGGAAGAAACAAGGGAACTAGACCTGAATCCTAGATCTAGACGGAGGCGGCAACCCGTAGGAAGAGAGAAAGGAGAAAAGCGAAAGAAGTTGAGGACGACTCTTGAACAACATCAAAACAAACGGACATCGACGTTAACCAAAATCCACCTGGCCATTTCCACGAGTGTTGCGCAGCGATTCGGCGACCCAACATGGGCTAGAAGCAAAGTCTGGTCGCTTTATGACACGCACTTCTTCGGGGACCATGGCGCACGGTTTTCGGTCAAGCGATGACGAGCTTGGGGGGTATCCATTGATCTATGCAAACGTGCGGCCGCCACGGCGGTTGTTGCGCTGCTTCGAGCTCACGGTGCTCCAGCCCTCGTCGTCGGCTCCAGCCTCGGCAGGCCCAGCCCTCCAGTTGCCGTTCGCCTTGCTGGCGGGAGCGTCGGTCGAGGCTTCGGCCTTCTTGGCAGCAGCCTCCTCGCTCTGATCCTGATCGGCAGTCATACCGCTCTCGTCCTCACCGGCCCGCCGGAGGATCTCGAAGTTCGTGCCACCCTGGGCGTGCTCGGCGACATCACGGCCGTTGGGATCAGCCGGCGCACCGGTCTTCTCAGCCTTGGGCTGCTCCTTGGCAGGACGCTGCTTTTCGGTCTTCTCAGACTTCTCAGTCTTCTCGGCCTTGGCCTTCTCGTCCGCTTCCTTCTTTTGACGGATGGCAATCTGGCGACGTTCCTCAACCTCCTTCTCGCGAGCGGCAGTGTCGATGGGCCGAGCACCACCGAACGGGCTAGCCTTGGACTCGGTGTTGGCGGTGGGGCTGGAGACGGCCTCAGTCACAGTCCGTTTTTGGAGGTTCAAGCGAGGGCGAGTAGCGGGGGCGGCGGGAGCGGCAGCAGGAGAGGGAGGGTTGCTGGCCTCCTTGGCGGGCTGGTCGGGGCGCATCTTGGATCTCCATGCGTTATCGAGTTCAGCAGCGGTGGGGGTGCGTTCTTGGAATTCGCGTCTCGGGGGGCGGGAGCCATCCTGGGAGCGTCCCTCACCCCAGGCGGGGGAGCTTCTTCTGAAACCAGGTGCTTCGTTGCTGCGGGGACGGCCACCTTCCCGGACAGGTGCAGGCGGGGGAGAGAGAGGGCCCTTGCGTTCCCAGTTGCTGAAATCACGGAACTTTCCATCACTCTCAAAGTTGCTGCGGCGGCCACTACCGCGGTCGCTGCCGGCATCAGACATGTTGTCGAGGTTGCGTCCGAAAGAGGAGCGGTCGGGCACACGGCGCTGAGGAATATCGGGCAGAGGGCCTCTGCGGGTCCAGTCAAACTCCTTGACATCACGTTCCTTGGCTATAGGTACCGTCAGCTGGCGCAAATCATCATACCTGAGAAGGGACACCTACGAGGTTCGGCAATGCTGGTGCGGATGGAACGTCCCTGGAGGGTAGCGCCGGAAAGATCAAGTGCCTTCTTCAGACCATCAACAGTCTCAAATTCGACATATCCGAAGCCCTTGGGGGCCTTGGTCAACTTGTCCTCCACGATACGGACGTTGGTAACACCACAGTCGGCAAAGAGGTCGGAGATATCGGCGGCAGTCGCATCAAAGGACAGGTTTCCAACATGGGCAGTGTAGGGGGGCTGGGTCGGAAGAGGAAGGGGCTCTCTCACGGCGTAGCCACCACGCTCACGCTCTGGTACTTTCCATCAGCATCAAACACATATATCGGAGCAAAATGCAGCAATAACACAGGGGCGAGTTCCGTACCACCACCAAAGCTGCTTCCGAAGCCAGAAGAAGGCGCAGCAGAGCGACCGAAGCTGGACGGAGCGGGAGCTGATATAAGTTTAGCATCAATCGGATCGAAGGAAGAAATATCATGTACAACGTACCGGCTAGAAAGGCATCAATATTAGCAGGGAGCGATAAATCAAAGGCAAGAAATCCGTCACTTACAAGGCAAAGGCATGTCTTCCATCTCGTCGGCCCAAGAACCGAAGTCTGTTCCTGTTAGCCACCGTTCCTCCCCGCGACGATATGGATGCACAGGGACATACTCTCATCGGCCAAGAAGTTGCCCAGAGACATCTTCTGGGCTTTCTGCTTAGAGGGCGCTGTACGTAGAATAAAGCCATTAGTATCCAGAACTGTTCAGAGGATGCGAAATTGACGTAAATTGGGACAGTGCGCCGGACGAGGAGGGGTTAAACGTACCCATGATTGCGGTTGTTCAGAAGTGGGAAACGCGCCAAGGGGATTCCTGTGCGCGTCTCAGAATAAAGGTTCTTCTAAAGGATTTAAAGGGGGGGCTTCCGACGGGGAAGAAATCACGAGAGTGATAGTGGACGTCCAAAGGGGCGTTGAGTGATGGGGGGAATGCAGGACAGCTCCGCAGTGAAGGACAGAGGGGGAAAGTAGGTTAATCCGTGAGGATAAATTTTAGTGATGACGCTAGAAAAGTCAGCCTCAAAAAAGTGTTGGTGCGGCTTTGGGTCGGCCGCCTCGACCCAACCCGAGGGCTTTTTTCCACCTTTTTTCCCTCGCCTTTTTGCGGAGAAAGTGTGTCTCTCTCCTTCCGCCCCTCTTTCTCCTCTCCACCCGGTGTCTTTTTTCGGTCGGATTCGATGAGATAATGAGTATAAGTGACTGTGGATTGTCAAACTTGTCTCCCTTTTCTGGTCCCTTGTCACTACTACTATTGTTATGGTGGTAAATATTGTTTGTTCATCGGTTCTCCGCTTGAATAGGCCCCATTCCGCATTGGGCAAGACATTCTTGTCTTCATTGTCTGCGCGGTTGGTTCCATTCTAGGAACGGCACTTAACCGACACGCAGACAGCACTTGCAATCACTCCCTTTCTCTCACCTGCTTTTTCCAGGTTACTAAATTATCAAACTAACTTCATCGTGCACTGCTATGACACACAGTGGTTTTTCATTTTCTGTCTGCGAATGTCTACCTGGCACTTTCTCATCCAGACTCGCAACCGTCCAGCAAAAAGGCATTGCTACTAATGGAGCTAGTTACCATTCACCTCCGAAGCCTGTGACCCCCACGCCATCCGAAAATACATCTCCGTGTCAAAATGGCGACTAGGGAAATCGGAAGACAAAATACACAGGCTGGAAGGACAGTACAGAATTATTGCTCAGCGCTGTTCAGGTACTACTATTCCGTACGTTCGGATGTGTCGGTGATTGTCGATTTCCAAACAGTCGTCCGTGTCCACAACGAAACAAAGTACGACTGAAGACAACTAGTTTTCGAGAAACGCTGTCGGCTTCAACTCCAAACACTACCCATCAATCCATCCGAAGGAAGCGTCTTCGGTGATATTCTACACTTGTTGAAGACACACCAATGCCAACTCCCACTCGAAGGACTGCCCACCTACAAGGTCTTTCAACCCTTGGAATTTCCTCGGCTGTAATGGTTCTATACGACGACACCGGCAGCGGCTACGTATATGGACATAGAAATCTAGTCACATGGTTGGGATTTGTGTACAGAGCATGGAGTTTGAGAACGTATACAGTGGCAAGTGAAGCGTGATGAGCAACTATCGATCTGAATTGGCTCTTACGCCGTTCTCGGGGCTAAGGACATATCTTGCTCTTCGTCAGCCCGGTTGATGCACATCTTTGGCATCCTCACGCTGCACATGGACGCTAATGTAGGTTCCAAATGTAGACAAGCGTCCGAGAGAAGATGCAAACCAGGCTGCGCGCAGTAGATATAATCTCAGGACTATCTAGGAAGGGAGCAATATTCCGTGGCTCTGCTCAAGAGACTTCCCGTGTGGCTTGTTCAGGAAGCCTCGCGAAGCCTGCATTAGTCCAACCAGCCAAATCTTCTATTTGTTGTGAATGCAAAGGTCAACGCACAGCCCCCGCTGCTCTTCAGAGGAACTGCAAGGGCCTCTTTACATCTTTGATCCAGTCAACACGCCAGCTACTTGTACAACCTGAGCGACCCGCACTCCACTCCCCATGCGTCCCGCAGCGGGGAGTCAGGATCTGCGGGCCGTCAAATACCCTGTCAGTCTATGCATACATGGCGGAAGTCGATCTCATGCCTTATCAGTTTAGAAAGAGTGAACGCCAAAGCATGAATAAGTACTGCTGGAGTACTAGTATAATGTGACCACGATAAGTAGTAACATATATATCGTAGTTGTTGTCGAAGATTCAATCAAGGGCACTGTCTACAGAGACTATAGTACTGTATTGATTGGAGTCATCTACTCCGGGTGGCCTTCAAAAGACGTTGATATCATGTGAACTTGAGAACAGGCGAATCCTGATGTATTGCTACAGATGGAATGACAATACTGAAGCCATAGGGATATAAATCCGGTGGTCACAAATTGTTGATTGCATTTACTCGGTGGACCCGCTTTGATGGCGGGAAGATCAAGGCACCGACCCGCTGCCGTCAGGCACACAAACACACCACCGTCTGTCGTTGACATCATCCAGGGTCTCGGATTTTGTCGGGGTTTGGAATCTGATGTTGCTCGGTCTTTGGGACTGCACTCTGTATATCATTGCAGTCTTCCTTTCTACAATATACTCGATCTGGTCTCCCTTATTCGGGGTCGATATTATATCCACTGATCTCGTCCAATGAAACATGCTCCTCTGAGGCAATTACTTTGTCCCTTGGTCCACAGTGATCTTTCACCTTATGCGAGATGGAGTACACTACAGATTTCTCGGCCTATTTAGGCCGTGAAGCCCCAATGTACTTCCTGAGTGCTTCTCGTCCATTTTTGCTCTATTCGTTTCCATCTTGATAAAGCAGTGGTTATCTAAACAAAGGATGACTATCATCCAGCGCACAATCCCCAAGGCGATCAAGGTTGCTGGAGTGGCTGGCTTTGCAGGCCTGGGCATATATTGCACGAAGCAATTCTCAACAGCGTTTGCGGAATCGAACGAGCCAAAATCAGTCTTCTCTGGGCTGGGTTTCACCACTTTGCGCTTGCAGAGCACCAAAAACGTCAATCACAACACGAAGCGACTAGTCTTCGAATACCCTAACGAATCCGCCCGCAGCGGCCTGACATTGACTTGTAACACCTGCCCCTTGAAGGACGGTCTCTATCGTCAGGATGACCTGCTAACATTCAACAGCCGCGCTCCTAGCCATCACCCATCCTGAAGGAAGCTGGCTTCCTACGATACGACCATACACTCCTATAAGTGACCTGGGTGAGCTCATGCCATGCCCGACTCACCACACCCTGAACACATAGACATGGTCCATCTATCATAGAGATAAGACATGCCTGTAGTTAGGGATTGGCCCAATTCGGACCATGTTTGCTAACTAACAATCAAATACACAGATGAACCAGGACATATTGAACTTATGGTCAAGAAATACCCGGATGGGAAGGCCAGTGGTTACTTGCACTCCCTGAGACCTGGAGACTCACTCACATTTGCGACTTCACTCAAAGGCTATCAATGGAAGCAGAATGAGTTATCACATGCCTACCTCTTGGCTGGCGGGGCGGGAGTTACGCCTATCTATCAGCTTATCAAAGGCATACTGAAAGATCCTCAGGATAGAACGAAACTGACTCTGATCTTTGGAGCCAATTCCGAGGAAGATCTACTTTTGAAGGAGGAACTCGATCGTTATGCCACAGAGTTTCCTGACCGCTTTAACTACATATACACTGTTAGCCGTCCAAAAGCGGAGAACTCCCCTTACAGAACAGGGTACATCGATGAGGAGCTTCTAAGGAGTACATTCAAGGAGTCGACGCAGAATACAAAGGTCTTCATTTGCGGTCCTCCGGCGATGGAAGATTCTCTGGTTGGAACAAGAAGATCGCCTGAAGGAATCTTGAGCCGATTGGGCTTCTCCAAGGATCAGGTTCATAAATTCTAGAGCTATCTTACTTGCGAGAGCCTTGTATATAGTATGTGTGTATTTAAGGCATTAAGGTGTCCCACAAGTGTCTTAACACAGGATATTGTCTGCATCAAATAGATAATAAGCAGGCCATTGTATCAATTATACTCCTGCTTGGCATCAGGAGGATGGATTAGATAAGCATCCCGAGCCTGCGTGAATCACGTGCGCGCTTGTGGATTTGCATGAGAGAAGATGCTGATTGAAACTGTTAACCAGGATATGCCTCTGACCTGAAGTCGCAGACTACAGTGCCAGAAACCGCAAAGATGAGCGGACAGGCCAAATCGTTATATCCAGAGCCTAATGTATTGACCTCCTCTCTGAAGGTGGGAGCCGTGACTGGTTAGTTACCAATCCCATCCCGGTGACTGGTCGGCCGGCTTGTATTGCCTCAACCCAGGCAACATAAGCCGGAGACTCATTGCAGCAGTCCTACTTTACTTACTCTCTTTCTCTAACAGGATCTGCTGGTCTCATATACGGGGGAATATCAGGAGTTATCCGGTCTCCTCACCCCGTCATTCATTCTATCTCTTGCGGAATCCACTGGTTTGCATGTGGAGCCTCCTTTTGGTGTGAGTCTTCCTCTCCTCTGTCCCTTATAGATCTGGACTTGATACCAAGCTTGCTGCTACAGGGTTGAGAAGCAACATTCTGAAGCTTCACTATGAAGACAAGGCGACCCCTAAGCAACGGGCTTATGTCAGCGCCCTCTCTGGAGGAGTTGCCGGAGGGGCTGTTACGAGGCTAATGGGTGAGTTTGGTAGCATCCTTTCATTTTCCCGTTTGAGAGAGAAAGAGGTGGTGGTGGTTGGTTTACTGATGGTCGGAGCTAGGCGGGCGACTTGTCCCTGGGCTAGTTGTTTTCTCGCTACTAGGCTATGTCGGGCAAAGCTCTTATAATGCGATCGACACCTGGCAAATGGAGAACGCGAATACGACGTCTAAGCCGTTCCTGCAGCGGATGGCCGACTCCAAATGGATCCCGCTCAAGTCACTCTCAGATGACGATTACAGGGGTATTCTGAACGAGAAAGTGTTGAGTATCGAGGCTGAGATCGCACTTATTGACGACAAGATCGGGGAGCTTGAAAAGCTCAAGACTAGTGGTCTCGAATCGGGAAATTCGGATCCTGCAGCTAAGTAGTCGGTTTCTAGACGGCCACTAGCAACTTGGCTATGGGTGAGAAAGAGAAAAGTTACGGCCAATCTCGAATGGTTGGGGGTCGATCTTACATGTCCGATCTAAGTATGTTAAGGAGAGGACTGTGTGATCGGGGGATGGACGTAGATCGTTCAATTGTCCTCTAGGATGGTAATCCCAGCAGCATTGTGTGTTGCACTTGCACTCAGCTTTGCAATGATTCTGTGCTGCTACTCAGGGGGTTTATGAGGTTGCGACTTTAGCCTTCGACCAACAACATGCTGGTCGGATCTGCCGTACCTCTGAGTTGGCTACGGATGCCGGTGCCACCGCTTCCATGAAGCCCCCAGAAGGAGTTTTACCTTTTGTCATGTATCATATTGTTCCCAAACCCATGTATTTTAATTTGAAACAAGACCCTGTATTATCATGAAGCAGATCTAATTACATGGAACACTACGGAGTATTCGCGATTGACAAGTGTTTCTTTCCGCTCCACACGCCAAGAAGCATTCTGGATATTGTTGGGAAAGTTTTGTGAGGAATCCCCAATCAAGCGATACTTGGTGAGAATGTTGCGCTAAATTCAAGGAGGGAAGATGCCAACTGCCGTGTTCGTAGGTGAATAGATACCTGAATAGATACCTGAATCCAACAGAGTCCAAACAAGAACGACCACGCTGCTAAGCTTTGTGTGAGACCGGGTCCCATGGAGCCAGGGGAAAGGGAAAAATGCTCCCCGATCGACTGCAGCAGCCCTTTGAGGCTCGGAAGGTGCGTCGAATTGCTTTGCTTGCTTTTTGCTTTTTTTATTTTCGATGCAGCGGGCAAACCCACATCTTTTGCCAGTTAAGTAAATTGCTAAGCAGCAATGCCGAGCCAGCCGGACGGTCCAGCCAGAGAGTTACCCCCTCGTTGGTCCATTGCCAGCGTGGAAAAAAAAAAGTGGGCGGCTTTCCGCTTCCAGTCTTGAGCGCGACGGGTTCGACCTTTCCGCCGCTGACAGGTTGCCGCTCCAGTGGTTTGGCATCTATGGCTCGCCCTCCCGATCGTCCTCACCTTTCATCATAACGCACTGGGTTTCATGGTGGTGGTGAAGGACGAAGAACAAATCAATATTTACATTCAGGGGAGAAAAGGGACGAAGAAGCATGACTGACTTACGCCTGTTTCGTTACTCTCACAACGTTTCTTCAACCCCTCTGCAGCTCTACCCTTAAACGGAGACCTGTTCTCTTTCCCGGATCCGCCGAAGTACAACCCCCCCGTCCCCTCTCTTCAGGAGGGTTGCGCTGGATCTGCTCGGGGGAGCTCGTGTGGTTGCATAGGCATACCATTGCTCCCTCTAGTCATTTTTCACTCACCTCTTCCGTCTAGAATCACTCCGCGGTCTCCGAAACGCCTCTCCATGATCTCTTGTTGGACGGTTGCCCATTTTGTGCAACGGATCGGTCCTACTGACCGCGAACTACGATGACGCTCTTTAGCCCGACCACGGTCCTCGTGGGCTTCCTCCTCCTCTACCTCTCCTCCTTCCTCATATTCGCTATCGTTCGGATTGCGACCGGAATCTCGATTCAACGAATAGGATATTTTTCTCTCCGCCGCATCGCATATGTTCCCCGAGATGGCGTCCAGATCGAACTCCGTGGCCTCGGCCTCTCTCTGCACCCGCCCTCGTTTGCGCAACCGACATGGCTCAGCATTCGCCTGACCGAACTAAAGCTGACTCTGGACCCTTCAGCTTTGGCAAAGGGGAAGAAGTCCGCCACAAAGCCCGATGCATCGGTTTCGGAAGCCCCGTCGGAGAAAGAGTCGTCCACCGTGCCGGATAATCGGGAAGACAGCTCTTCTATACCCAAGCGAAGCAAGACATGGCGGAAGCTGACCCGCATGAAGGAGCAAGTGAAACGACTGCATCGGCAAATACATTGGTTGAAGTTGGTGGATGTGGTAGCCGTCAATACGACCATCAATCTCGTGGAAGCTGGTCAGATCCAGGTTGGATCTTTATCCTTGGGTGTCGATACGAGGCGCAAGATGGTGGATCGAGGGAAACTCTTCTTTCGGCGCAAGAACCAGGGCCCTGACGAGCATCGACCGGCAGAGTGGGTGATGAATGTACAGAATGTGCTACTCGGGATAGACGGAGCGGAGCCAACCGAAGTGCTGGACAATGTTCGGGTCAATATACATGGGCTTCTCCACAAAGACCTTGAGGGTCTACGAGATGCGTCCATCGCTTTCAAAATTGGGCGCATGCATATCCCGTACGATGATGTGATGACTCTGATGCAGCGCGTCAAACAGTCTCGGCAGTCGTCGGTGGAGCCTACCAGTATTGAGACCGATGACGAGGTCTCCTTTTCAGACTTTGTGGAGGAGCTGGATCAGCCCGGAAGCCGAGACGACACCATTGTGCAGGCAGTCGCTGACTCCAAGGAGTTTGCTGGGTCAATCCTTCGGGGTATACAAGGGATACAGGTTGCCCTGAGCTTCTTTAGGCTAACTCGAGCTTTCGAGCCTCCTTCGTCAAAACAAAATCCCGTGTATCTGAACGTGGTATCGCATGAGTTAGGCATTGATCTTCACCGAATGGACCAAAAGAGTCCTGCTCATCGCATGTATTTCCAACGCGATGATGTCGCCCATCAAGCCCTCCTGGCGGCCATCTCTTTGTCGGTCACTTTGGATGATTGCTCAGGTGAGACGGACAACATACTTTATATCCCAATGGCGACCACAACCATCAAGACCACGCTCCCTTCGAAGACGATCAGCTCCTTCGACGACCACAACCCGGAGGAGCGCAATACCAACATACTTTTTGCTAATTTGGTGGTGACGTCCCCATCACTCGATCTAGAGCCAAAGCAGGTCTCTCGGCTCTTAGGGTTGACTCAGGCGAAGAAGGCGTCTCCTCGTGGAAAGAAGAGAGATAATCATCGCTTGATTTCCAGGCTTCTTCCCAAAGCCAGTATCAAAGTATCGGTCCACGAACCCGTGGTTCGATTTGTCCTCCCCATCTCCAAGCCTTCCGACACCCCTGACGACGATTATAATCTACTAATTTCCTCTATTTCCTCTATTTCTCTCGACATCGAATCTTCACATTCGTCCGAAGGCGGGGTTCACTATTCGCTCTCTTCCATTTACCGGGTGGCGTCGCACCAGCTGTACTACCAAACCCCGTCAGGTGTGAAACATAATCTTCTAACGACCGAGAGCTTGGAATTCAAGGTGCTACTTAGTGCCTCGCCAGAAGTACGCGTGATTGCATCTGGGAGTCTGAATACCTGTTCTGCGCACATGGTCAACGATGAAGTGAACCGTGGCATTCATCAGGTGCTCGAGCAGTTCCGGGCTCAAACGCGGCACAGAAGGAAGGCTTCTATGTCGTTTGAGGAGCGGAAACCTAGTGTTCTCAGGCGAATCCCGCCATGGTTGCTTCGATTTCAATTTGAAGCCACTGGGCTCAGCTTGGAGATTGCTGGTGTTGACACAAGCGTCTCTGAGGTGTCACGTGGTGTCTCATTCCAGCTACAATCGTGGACTGCAGACTACAGAGCCCAGAAGTCAGAACCAACGACAGTCAGCTTTGCGAGAAGGCGAACCCCAAGTCACTCTTACATTGGAGATGAGTCGTCCTTCCGGTTTCCCCCTACGTCGCCTCCGAGACAGAAACAAGTGGGTGCCACAGATGGAAGACGGCTAGCCCTCCATGTCCGCGGTTTCGAGGGGTTTGTCATTGAATCCGAAGATTATCTGGAAGCAGAACCCTTTTTCTCACTACCGAGATTCGAGGTGGCCCTAAGCACGATGAGTGATCGTCTTGGTCCGATTAGTAACCTCAATTCCGTGTTCAAGGGCGTCTACCTACAATACTCCCTGTACCGCTACTATTGCCTCGGTGTTGCAATGTCAGTGGTCCAGGACGCTTTCATGCGAAAGTCACCGGATATTCCTGAAACGCCCATGTCCCCTGTTCAAAAGGAATTCGCTTACCCCCCATCGCCACGTCCGTCAGCGAGGGGCGAGCTCATGACATATGATGTCCGAGCAACTGTCATACAGCTCAAGACCTTTATGCCTGCTGATCCTCCAATGTTGGTTCAAGTCTACGGGTTGACCGCTGGCTCGCATCGTCTCTCCGCTCCATTTGCGAAAGCACATCTTATCCGGTTACACGCACAAGCGCCAAAGCTCAAGGGCGTGTGGGCCAGAATCATAAGCATGAACAACGTTCGCATTGATTTACGTAAGATGAAACTCAAACATGGCACCAATCTTGTCGAGCAAAGGAGTATAGATGTCTGGGCTGATTTCATTCGATTGGGTGTACCGCATCACATGGTAATGCATCGCATATTTGACAACGTGATCAATACCTCAAAAGCACTTAAGCAGCTTCATGAACGCTTCAAGGGACACTCAGCTGAATTCGGATCAGTCAGAGAACCGGAAGAGCCCAAGAAGATCCCCAGGGTGTCGTTGCGCAGCAAGGCTCTGCTATTTGAGTTGGAAGATGATGCTTTCGAGTGGAAACTTGGTTGCATTTATCGCACCGGTCTTATAGAACAGCGCCAGCGCTTGGCCCGCGAGGAGGCATTCGAGCTGAAATTACAAAAGATTAAGGAATCGGATCAGCGCCGCTCTTCGTCGAGACTTCGGGCTCGATCAAGCCACCGGACACTTCGTAGTGAACGTGTTAGCGGAGAGTCCAGGAGGAGCAAGAGTGCCGACCCTAAACCGCGGAAGAGCTTGCAGGATGACAAGCGTGGCCGAGGAAAGAAGTTCCGCTATGATACCGAGGGAGCTGCCTGCCTGTCGTGCGAAGCCAAGGTTTCAGCCGAGAATGCCTGGTTTCGTCTTCAAGAACACAATTCTCGGTCCTGGAAGGACAAGATCGATTCTGCCCTACGATTCCAGGGCACGTCGATCAAGGAAGTGCGGAACCTTTTCTCCGGTGCTGACGAGGCTCCTGAAGATGTTCAAGAAACGGAGACTGTACTCTCAATTCCAAACAGACCTGCTCTCTTGGCCGCTTTGATAAGTGACATCAACCTTGTCATTGACAAACCTTTCTTCCCCTTGGAAGATTACCCCAAATTCCTCAACACAATCGGTAAAGGCATGCCGATGTCCATGAAGTATGCGCTGCTTGTTCCCATGAGTATACAGTTGGAAATGGGAGAGGCGCGCGTCAACCTGAGGGACTATCCCTTGGATTTGCTGCACATACCAGCTTTACGTCCCGGTCAGTCTCCAAGGCTGCCCAGCTGGTCTCTTCGAACAAACTTTGTCATTGCCGAAGAGTATCGTGACTATAAGTCGGCCAGACAAGTTAAACTTGAATTGGTACCCTCTACGGAGCTGCCAGATGGGACCACGAGCCCTCCTTTTGCAATTGAAGTCTGGCGATCTGTCTCTCCTGTCAAAACTTACTCCGACCCTACAATTGAGATCAACACGAGTCTACCAACGAGCATTTCATGGGGCATGTCTTATCAGCCTGTGATACAAGATATGATGAAGATCATCGAAGGATTCACCAAGACAGAAATCGACCCCTCTGATAGGGTTGGATTCTGGGACAAGATCAGACTTAGCTTCCACTCTCGAATCAAGGTTGCTTGGAAAGAGGATGGAGATGTTCATCTTCGTCTGAAGGGTTCGCGTGATCCATATGTGGTAACAGGGTTCGGAGGCGGATTCGTCATGTGCTGGCGCAAAGACGTCAGATGGGAAGTTCATACTAGTGATGATCCCAAGGAATTCATGAGCGTCAGGAGTGGAGAGTACGTGCTGGCGATACCGGACTACAGTCATGAGGCTCGGTATATGGCCGAAGCCACAGCTCAGGACTTGGAAAGCACGTCCACGTCGAGCGACCTGAAGAACGCCGCTCACTTCAAGAAGGTTGTCATGAAGCTCTCTGGTGACGTGAAATGGGCTGCCGGTTTGGTATTCGAGCGTAACGTGGACGAAGGCCAACGGTCATTTGACTTCAAACCGCACTATGACGTTGTGCTCCAGAACCCCGTTCATATCGACCCTGCGCAGCGAGAGGTAGGCCAAAATCCCGTAACAAGACGATTTCAAGCAGCTAACTTCGGGCAGACTTATGATGCCTACCGCGGGTTCCGCAGTAATCACATCCACTTGTCAATTTCCGTTGTAGCCCCTGAAAGCAGGAATTGGTCCGTCGACTCTGTTCAGCCGTCTGCAAGCTACAATACCGTTCACTTGACCCCTCGGTTCTTCACACACTTCTTCAACTGGTGGTCTCTCTTCTCGGGTGTCATGTCACTCCCTGTCCGACAAGGACCACTGTGGCCTGGTATCACCAAGACAAGCAAGAAATTCAACCGTCATCTGGCCACAGTCAAGTATCAACTGCTTTTCGCTCCTCTGTTTGTGGCTCACATCTACAAGCACAAGGACCGAGAAGACTATGCTGAGGATGTGGTGACAGCAACAGGCATCAAGGTTCGGTTGGATAGCCTGAAGCTTGATGTACATCAAAGACGGGAGGAAGTCAAGACTCTGGCAAAGGGTCGCTTGAAGCAAACGAAGGCAAGCGCGATGCGTATCAACCAAGCGGAATTGGATCTGCAGTCTGCGGATTTCAGGGCTGTCTCGGCCAGTATTGAGGGCACCAATCTTGACGACATTGAGCAAAACAAAGACGACATCATATCGTCCTTCCAACAACCTGTGGCTTCGGTTGACCTGTCTCGATTTACTATACCCGACCAGAACCTTGATTGGATAGACATGGATGATTTCGTGGAGCTGGATTGGATATTGCCCCAAGAATCAAACCCACGCACACATATCCTGCCTTTGGCGTTTACACCACGTTTTACCTATTTCCGGCAAACAGACCACGGCCAAACCGCGCCTGAGGAAACAGGGTATAGCACCTTCGGTGATGAGCCCACCCATGAATGCGTTATGTCGGAGAACAATGAACCTCGTCGGGTACAAATGGAGCTCATCCGAGACCGACTTGCTGCCGTCGAGGCGCAGACTCGCGACTGTAGTCGTACTATCGGCGAGCAGGAACTCCGTCTTGCCAAAGAGATCGATCCCGATCCCGCACTCAAGAGTCAGCATAACGACTATCTTAGACAGGCAGAAACGTTGAACCGAAGACGGACTTTCCTCACTGCCGGGCTCCAGCGAATTGAGAGGCAGCTTGCGCGGGAAGAAAAACTCCCCACGGAAAGGAACCCCGAAACTTTCGTCCAAGACAGCGCTTCCCGGATGGGAACAGACTCTGACTCGACGAACGATGGCAAGGAGGCTGATATGGATGGCTTATACTCCACTCCTGACGATGATCTGGCAAGTGACTTCAACAACAGATTCATCATCCACAACATCCAGCTGAAATGGAACAATTCTCTGAGAAACATCATCCTGCGCTATATCCATCAAGTCAGCCAGCGCCGGGGATTCGTGTACTACATGTCTCGGAGAGCTGTCAAATTCATCCTCGATATTGTCGATGAACAAAACAAGAACAAGCAAAAGCATTCTAAACTGTTCCGGACTGCCTCAAGACGCCCATCGGATGCTGGCGGACTTGTCGACAGCGAGGATGATGATAGTATCGAGGATCGGATTGAACAATTGTTGAGTGATGCAAAGCGCTACGTGAATGCAGAGGAGCAAGAGCATCAATCCGACCAAAGGAGGCATAGCGCCCCCAAGTCTGATGGTTTCAGCGAAAACATCGCACCGGAGTTCACACCTCAGAACAGCTACCACCTGCGACTCATTGCTCCGCAGATCCAGTTGCAGAGTGAAAAGAACCAAAAGTCTGTGCTGGTAGTGGCTGCGAAAGGCATGCAGCTTCAAGTCGTGTCTATTATGGACAAGGAGCGGGTGTCCGACGACGTCAGCGGTCTCGTGCAGCGTCGCTTCTCTCTTTGCATGGACGGAGCCCAGTTCTTCGTGGCTACGCAAAAGAGCCTAATGAATCATCTACAATTCTATGCTGGCAACAAATATGGAAATCCTCCGGGATCCGCATGGCCACCTTGGCTGAACCTTGAGGCACTGTTCGATTTCGAACTGAACCCGTTCGGCTTTTCAAGGATCATACAGAAGACCTCGGCTAGTCTGCGGTACGACAAGTACAACAACCTCCGCCTAAAGTACAACGAGGAGGTGGCGAAAGGGCAGTCAGACCAACAGTATAGTGTGCATGATACGGAACCGAGGATGGACCATATTAGCGTCGACTTTCCTCACTTCCGTGCCATTTGCGACTCCGCCGAGTACTACTCTATGTACATCATCATTCTTGATCTTCTCCTTTATAGCGAGCCTCTTGAGAAGGTCCGTAACGAGCGCCTGGAGAGGATCATGCTCACATCCGATTTCAGTGATCTGAGAGGTGCACCGGAGATGGTTTTCAAGCTCCAGTCTCGCATCCGACAGCTGGAAGAGATCAAGGAGCATTTCCAGATCCATGCCAAGTACTTGGATAAGCAAGGCTGGGAAGACCGGCTGGTGCTGGAGAAAGATCTGACTCAATGTGAGGATGAGCTGTTCTTCTTGATGAAAGCTATTACCTCCTCTCAGAGGAAGATCGACCCGAATATGTCGAAGACACAAGGGGTTCTTCGCTGGAACATTTCTGCAAGCGAGGTGGTTTGGCATTTGATGAAGGACCAGACGGAGCCGCTGGTCGAGTTCCAACTCAGGAATGCTGAATATGACCGCACGGACAACAGTGATGGCTCGAACCATAACTTAGTTGCAGTTGAACGATTGTATGGTCTGAACCTTCTTCCAGATGCCATCTATCCTCAGATCATCGTGCCTTATCTCGACCAGGCCCGAGGCCTCAACGGCCCTGATGACTGCATGATCAAGGTGAAGTGGCATATGTTGGAGGCAGTTGCCGGTATCCCTGTCTTGGATGACTTTGAGGTGTCTCTCTTCCCTCTCAAGGTTCAGTTAGAGCGGGAACTTGGTCAAAAGGTGTTCGAGTACATGTTCCCCAACGTCGGATCTACTGCATTCGAGAATGGCGGCTTTTCGCCCTTCATGATTAAGAACATGAAGCCACTTGATGATTCATCTGATTCTGATGAGGAAGAAAGCCCGACCGCTCGTACACACCAGGATAACAGTGATCTTTCAACGGATGATCTGCAGCTGAAGGGTCCAGGAGCAATTGAGCTGAGGCTGCAACCAACGCTGTCGCTATCGGAAGAAGCCAGACCGAAGTCTCAACACCGGCAGCTCAGAGGTCTTGCCCTGACCCCTCTCCATAAGGATACCAAGGACAACAACCACATCCGACCTTCAACGAGTGGCGGCTTGACAAAGAAACGATCAGTGGACAGTCTGCGCATATTGTCTAGACAGCCCACCGAGAAATCCGTCGCTAACACATCGGGCGGTTCAGGAAATAATGAAGAGAAGAAGAAGTTCGCACTAGGAAGACTACCGAACAAGGGCAAGAAGGAGACTCCTGATGACCTGTCCCAGATGATGTCCCGCGCGTCAAACTACATGACGCTTGCCCACGTCAAGGTGCATGATGTGGTGTTGTGTCTAAGCTACAAAGGCAAGGGAGAGCACAACATAGAGGATCTCCACGACTTTGTTTTCCGGTTGCCTGTCCTAGAGTACCGCAACAAAACATGGTCGAACCTCGATTTGGCCTTGCGACTGAAGAAGGATGTTATCAAGGCTCTAATCTCGCATGCGCCCGCGATCCTTGGGAACAAGTTCTCACACCACCGGCCTTCGAAGCAGCAGCAGAAACGGTACCGGGAGCTGGCTAGCTCAACCCAGCTTGTACACTACTCCGATACCGCGGTGAATGCGTCCGATCACGCTCATAGCATGGCTAGCGCGGACTCGAACAGCGAATATTCAGAGTCTCAACGCTCTGGGAAGTCTGGCACAGGCACTTCTCCGCTTGTGCGATCCAACTCTCTCGGATCGAGTATGCTCCACGAGCCAAGCGGGGTCATACCGGACTCTCGCTCTGCGAGCGAAGTCGACGTGGATGCCCGCTGGGAGGTACGTTAAATAGAGCAATTGTGAAGGACGCCGCTAATCAGCTTTTTAGCAATCACGCCGAATCGTTAACCCTCCCACTCGACCCATGACTTCAGGCAATGCCATGCCCAGGTCACAGACAATCAAGACCTGGGACGAGCCGGAAGAAACGTAAGTAATGCCTGAGCTAGCCCTGGCATCCAAGCTAATATTCAATAGGACTAGTCACAAGACATCAATCCGCAATTTTGGCCGGAAATTGATACCTTCTCGAAAATGAGCCCGCGTCGCTCTATTTAGCTGGCCGCCCCTCCGCTGGCTTTTCGCATCATACATTTTAATTATAATCCGTCATTTTGTTATTTGCACATTACTGGCCTCGCATTTGCCGTGTGATACCCCCAGCGCAGTGGGTCGTATATAGGCGTCAACGCTTTTGGTTTCCTGTTTCCATTGACGAATTGTCAATGTCTCCAGGTGTTCCAGGGGTATAGTGTGATTTACTTCACTTCTTGTGTAAAGTTGATTATATTTGGTTTTTGTGTGGAATACATTAATTTCAGTAGCGACTGGCGCTGTCCGACACTTGCTATTCTTCTTGATCTGTGTTGCTGGTGTATAGTGTACGAAGAAAGGTTACGGAATAAAGGAGCTCTCGTTGTTATTTTGGCACACGCAGTGGACATAACATATCTATGAACCATGTATGATAGGACAGGACAAGACACAATCTTTGCCAGCCATATGCTTACTGTAGAGGTAGCACTAGCGCTCATACCAAATTACATAGACGAGAAATCATCCACTCATTGTTAATTGATCACCCCGATGCCGTCATATTCAACGGAGTGATCATCAAACAAGCATGACATTTCCCCGACCGAGCGCCAGCATGGCGAACTATCCCAATTTGTCCGCGGACAACTCTGATTCCATTGCGTAGCTTCGCTTCCCACCATCGGTCAAGACCATCACTGCCCAGATGTCCGCATTCCATGTAGGTGTGTGTATACTTTGTGAGAGCACATTCTGTTTTGTTCCAGAGATGATGATGGTGGTAGTTAGTACCGATGGTTAATGGATGTGGTTAGTATGTGTAGTAAGTAGTAGGCTCAAGGTAAGTGCTTGGGAATGGAATGGGGAGAGAGAGAAGTATAAGTAGGGAGGGGAATTAATGTCCTAATGATTTTGTTAGGTAGGTTTTGGTTTAGGGATGTTCCGCAATGATGATGTTGGGGCATTGCCATTTATGTATTTATGTACTATATTGGAAGCTGTACAGTTTCATATTGTTTTTCTATGAGTTGGGATGAGCAGTTAAGCAGTATGGTTAGTGTGGGGAAAGTTGTCTTCTCTTCTAGTCAGATAGAGATAGTATATTTGCAAGTCATTTATTTCGTGTCGGTTTGAGGCACTGGTATTGTATGTAGTCTATGTTCCGTTCTGTATGCTTACTAGTAATTGATTGTTTATTCCATGCTGTAGTACAAAGTGGATTTATATGGTTTGGAGGGACTGAACAGGCTCTGTGTAACATATAAGATACTATAACATCGCTGGCTGGGGCACAGAATCAGAAGAATTCGGTGATGCAAATAATATGAGACTATTCCAATTCTCCAAGAACACCCTCGCATATCCGTCTAATCTGTCCCCATCTATCCAGCAACATTTGTAGCTTCTCTCTTTCCCATGCTTTTGATCCTATCTCCTTATTATTATCTGCGATTTCTTCTCCTAGATCTCCAAGCATATTCGCAATAACCTCCATTGTCCCGATGCACTCTTTCAGATATACCTCCACCCAGCCTCGTATTACGCTTGCGGTCTTCTGCGCGTCGACGCCCCGCTCTGAGCGTCCGTTTACGTAGGCGCGCCACTCCCGGAGATTCATGTATTTTAAACATGCGGCGTAGTGGAGGGGGGTTTCCTGGGCGAGGGGATGGGAGAGGGTGTAGTTGCTGTTTAATTTTAGTATACGGTGTCAGTACGTACTTGTGTCTGCATCTGGGTCGGGAGTGCAGTTGCGTTTGAAGGTTAATGTGGGGATGACTCACCCAAATATCTCCTGTTTAGCTAATTCCTGTTTCTGGGATATACTTAGATCTTGGAAGATTATGTCGTCCAGGTAGATGCTGTCGGATGGGTTGGTGGGGAGGGTGAAGCCATCTTTCTTTGTTAGTCAAATGAACTGAGATTGAGAGATTGAGATTTGCGAGTATGGCTATATACTGACATTCAACTAGAAGAAAGTCGTTCGAGTGGTTGCCATAGCTCATGTAGACCTCTTCACCTTTCTCTGGATGGTGTTATTTTTGCACGCATAAATGTTATGAAGAGGGGGAGAGAGCGCACCGTATCGCCGCGTAGCCCGAAAAGTATACTTCTTTCCGTCAAAATTGACATCGCATGCCTGCATGCCGTCAATACATACACACTTATCCAGAAGGTGTATAGACAAGGAATAAACCCACTGCATCATCAACATGATTAAAGTAATCTGCAAACGGCACCATTCCAATCGCATCATTCCAGTCCTCTGGCTCATCTTTCCCAGGAGAGACATAATAGAAACTCCTCGAATTAATTATGCACCAGTAATATGCGAACATCTTCCACTCAGTCTCCGGGTACACTTTCAAGACATTCGCCCAGGCATTTTTCAGGCGCTTTTCTTGCTGGCTGAGTAGGTTTTGATATCGCGTGTCATAGTCCACGCCTACAGGCACTTTGGAGAAGGTATTCCATTCTCCAGAGATGGAGGGCGGGAGGAGGACTTTCCCCCTATTTTGATGTTGGTCTTGTTTCTCCGGCGAGGAAGGGTTGGCGTTGGCCTCGTAGCTCGAATTCGATACCCGAAGATGCGCGGGCCATAGGACCGGCATGCTATCTTCAAACTCATCAAACGAGGGCCATACGCTCCGCCAAGCATCGAAATCTTTCAGCAGGGCTGGATCACCGTGTGTGAGAAACGCAGCCAATATCCCGTGTATTGATGTCCCAGCAGGAAATTGCGATGTGAATGATGATGGGATAGAGTCGATAGTCAGCATTAGGTCCACAGGAATGGTGAGCATGATCTCATTGTTCTAGGTAAATTAGCAATGTACCCTAGTATCTCATCCCTAGGTCTAGGAATACAGGTTTTAGCAGCCTACTTTTATTGTTCGCGTCGCCTTCATCCCCAACCGTCGGCCGGGGAATCGTGCCGGGGTGACGCCCTTTATTTTGATCCCTGACGCTTCTGCCCATTGCATGAACGCAGTATGCTCGACGCCAGGTGAATCATCCATCTTCTATCTTGAATTTTGCGCTATCGGACCACGCCGTTGGGATCTGTTGACGCTTGACTCCGATAGGAATCGTGGATGATCGATTGGTGTAGTTCCGCACCGATTAGATAAGCCGATCGATAAGGGAAATTTTATCCCGCATCAACAACATCACATCGGGTGGGATACATCCCTTGCATGAGTTTCCTCACTCACTTACTTGAAGCTTGCTTATAGAGCTGCACCGCGCTGCGCTGTGCTACATAACTGCTGACAGCAGCAACACACACACCCACCATGTCCACCCCCAGCGATGCCCCTCCTGACTCGCACATCGACCATGCCGCTTCCCTCCGCTACTGGAACTCTGTCGCCGCCAACACAAAGACCATGCTGGGCATGCTAGGCTCGTACCCATGGTACACGCGAATCGATCTCCGAGGCTCCAAGACCTTCCTTGGCAAGGTCCGTCGCATGATTCCCAATTGCCCGACGGAAGGGAAGCTCCCGCTTGGCGTGGATTGCGGCGCGGGCGTGGGTCGCGTCACCGAGGGTCTCCTCAGCCAGGTCTGCGAGCGCGTCGATGCCGTCGAGCCCATTGAGAAGTTCACCGAGGTGATCCGGAACTCGGAGCTGAAGCGCACGGGTGTTGTCGGGGATATCTATACAATGGGTCTGGAGAATTGGTATCCTGAGAAGAACAAGTACGATTTGATCTGGACGCAGTTCTGCGTGGGACATCTTACGGATGTGCAGTTGAGGGAGTACTTTGTTCGATGTCGGGAGGCGTTGACGGAGACGGGGATTATGGTCGTGAAGGAGAATCAGTCCACCGATCCGAATGGGTTGGATATGTTTGATGAGGAGGATAGTAGTGTGACCAGGACGGATGAGAAGCTTCGGACACTGTTTAAGGAGGCTGGGTTGGTGCTTGTTGCGTCGGAGTTGCAGTTGGGATTCCCTAAGAACTTTAAGCTCTTGCCTGTGAGGTTTTATGCGTTGAGACCGTCGACTTGAGGAGTCTTTGGGAGATTATTCAGTGACGTGATACGGCGGTGCTGTGTACCTGGTTTGTCGGAGGTGCTGGGTATCATCTGCCGCTGGGGCTTCCGAATCATCGCGGATTCTAATGCCTTTGGAGCCGAGGTTCGCGTCCGACTATCGGTGCGGACGCTGGCATTGAGCAGCCCCCTTGAAGGAACGCAAAGTTGTGCGCAGCGGACAATATACGTAGCCGGTGCCGTGCATACTCCTAAGGAGGAATATTGCAAAACCCATCGCAGACCCGCGGCTTTGCAGACCTGCTGTGAGCGGATCAAGATGCAGAGTGCTTAGTTGAATTGGTACAAAGTATCATATCTATCTATGCTAGCTGCAGAAGTGATGCCAATGCGAAATCAACAACCCTGGGAGACATGTCGTTATCGACAGGATCAAGGAGTGTGTGATGGCTATGCAGTCTTCAAACACAGGCCAGAAAGCATAACCAGATCATGTATGTAAGTAGGAACAAGCAGGGTATCGGTGTATATAGTACAGTGTTCAAGCCGTCATAAACATTCCATCATCAAGATTTTCTTCAGAATTCTTCATCTCATCACTCAGCAGTCTGGTAGCGTCACGGCTGGCAAAGATGCAACGGATCTGTGACCGTTTGGCATACCTCAATGATCACTCGGTGTAGACGGGGGAGCCTGCTTCTCCCGGAACCAAGGCACGAAACTTGGCAGATGATCCTGCATCGCCTCAAGCCTGGTCCGACCACCACTGGGCGCATCAGGGTCATCGGTGTACGGGATACCTCCCTGGCCCCGGTTTTCTGCCCAAGCCTTTTTCTCGCGCCGAAGATCGCTTTGGACCCAAGGTATCGTGACCAACGTCCAGAGGCCAGCCCATGCGAACGGCAACGACCATCCTAGCTACACATCACTTAGTACCAAGTGCTTTAGTTGCTTGAAGTTCACTCACAGTGTATGCAACTGGCTCTGAAACAGTAAATATGATTGCCGTAATGGCGGCAGCGACAACGATAGATCCCCCAGCCCAGAAACAGTTCATCTGGAACAGCATACGCCGGAAGTACGGGCTAGATAGATATCGGGTGCGAAGCGCATATCGGTAAATCTGACCACCACCCCCATCAACTGCCACTACGTCCTCGATCAAAACATATAGGGCGGTCGGCATTGTCGAGCCTTTGGGCGTTGATGATATCCGAAAAGGCGCTTTAACACCACAAACACGAAGGATGTCGAGTGCCAGGTACATGCTGCCGAAGTAAAACATCACCGTCGGAAGGACCATGGCAACTAGTCGGACTATTGACCACGCGGGTTAGCGGGGATAAAAAGAAGACGAAGAGATAGGTTTTACCATATGGTTCTGCAGGAACGGTTCCTCTGTGGCGCTGTTAGTCTGGTTCGTGGACAAATGGATGGCAGCACCTACACAATTAGCTCAATCGCCAGTATCAACCAGACGATGGTGAAATTGATATGGAAGAAATCCAGCTACATCCGGTTAGCGCCCACTTCTATACAACTTATAGCCACAGAAAGCGTACCCATCCCTTCCTAGCGTTCAATGGCCGGGCTCGCGAGTCCTTGCGGAACAAGTTGTAGAGACGATAGAAGTATTCGAATACCGATACACCTCCTAACGAAGCCGTCACAATACTGAATACTATAGGACAGTGAATGAGTGACTGATTTAGGAATAAGGTTGAGAGGCAGATTTCACGCACCCAGGTTATGCGAAAGATCCGTGGCATACCAGAGCGCCCAGTAGAGGACAAGCGGCTGGGCCAGAGTATCAATCACGAAGATGGTCCAGAAGATGGCGATGGATTTCTTCCTCGAGCGCAAGGAGTATGGGAGCGGTGGAGGCTCAGGACACGCAGCGGGCCTCGATTCCTCGTCCATCGAGTTGGCAGTCGTGGTGCGGGTGGGCGAAGTTTAATCTGTCAGTCTCACGCAATCTGCAATGGCCGGGTTTATGGTAGTAGTATTCGAGAGACAAGGGAAGACATGACGGGAGAGGACGGAGATAGGGAATGGGAGGAACAGGAAGGAGAAATCCCAGATGAAGTCAATCTGACTGACGAGAGATAAGCCAGAAAGGCCGGAAACGACGGCAGGGACGCCTCGTAAACGAGCCCAAGGCTTTCAGTGGAAGTGTTTTTGCCATCGGCGGCATCGGTTGGTTTTTGGCCGTGATGCCTGACGTAACCGGGCCGTGATGTCATGCTGCTAGTTGTCGATCCCGCGCTCCAGACCGGTTCTGCACAGGATTTGTGAGACATCGTGGTTTCTTTGTTTATTCACCCTATTGCAAGGACTGAGGGCACTATCGTACTTCCCGTACATACAGGACTTCTGGGGTATGCTAATCTCTCTCGCAGAAGTGTGAACCAAGCGGTTGCAGGGATTGGAACAGGCATCCAAGCGACGGAAGGAAAGTAGTATCATCCATACATTTCGTACTCTAAAATGGCTTCCACGGCAGCAGTGGAGAAGATTATAAGGGAGCTTTGATATAGAATCGACTTAAGTTGAGTTTATGCCCTTGGTGGATGTGCATAACATGATACCAGAAGAATAACTCAAAATTACTTTGTACAAAGTGGGAGAGTCAGCTGACCCATTCCATTTCCCTCTTTGAGGCGGCACTGACCGAATCTGGCAGGACAGACTCGGAATGTGCCGGGGTTACTCCAAACAGAATAGCCGGTGATCATCAATCCTAGCAGTTGCAGTTTGCTTTGCACATCGAATTCTTATGGATTGTCTATCTAAGGGTCTCTTGATCCACTTCCGACCGTGTCTCCACTTGCTCCCCGTCCCGATTTCAGGGTAGCCCGGGCCGTACCACTGGATGATGCAGCTGGCACGGCATCTTTGCTGTAATGCTTCTCTCAGTTATTGGTGATAATCTCACTCACTGACTAACTGACGCTAATTACCTGTCTCTCCATACGCTACTTCGGTCATGAAGGCAGGTGCATATCGAATTATTGTCGTTATAAGTGACGTTGACTGCTCTGCATACCCTCGCTATTCCAGTATTCAACTTGCATCAGCTCTTCTATCTATCCCTATCTATCCGCCTTCTACGATCTATTGCTCCATTAGAAGATGATCGTCTCATGAGAGCAACCGTTATCTAGTTGCGAGATTATTGTGTTAACCTAGTGGTTGCAGCAACCCTTGCCCTCCAATCGAGCTATCTGTTTCAGACTCGTGCCCGGATACATACCAAATGGGCTCAAAGGATAGACGCAAGAAGTCCATAGATGGAATTCTTAAGGTAGTTGTTGCTAACTGGAGAGAGAGTAATGGGCAATACTATCTTCTCGAAGCTGTTAATGGCGGCTTAGTAGAGACAGCTGATGGGCTCATATCTCAGGCAGGTCTCTCATCTGCTGTCTGGGAGATTGGCTCAGGCAATCTGGAAGGTCATCGGACGATTCCCGTCACGACTGGACTGATCTTCTTGAATTGAAGCTCTCCAGCGTAGGATTTCAACTTGACTACAACCATGTTGCGTGGCAGAAGTCTTTAGATTTGACCCATTTTGATGTTCATGAGCTTAGTGATGCTTTGTGATACATATACCCCTTCATGTCTACCCACTCCTAGTCCGTTTAGGCCCGGCTGACGTGTTACTGACTAAGAAAGTGCGGCAACACTGATATATTTTAATTATATGAATAGGATCCCTTTGTGACATCAGAAGTCTCACTTGTGAATCGCTATCTTCAGTCACTTGAAGAGCATAAATCTAACTATGCACCCAATATTGTAGTAAAGTACATAATATGCGTGGCATCTGATTCACGTGACCGTTGTCCGCCACCCCCGCGGTTGTTGTTCGGGCTTCACCTCGCATTTCCTCCGCGACGCTGGTTCGAATCGCGTCTCTGCCTCTGCATCTTCCTCCATTTTCTGCTCCCCAATCCGTTGTCTGGGAGATGGATTGACGTCAATTCGTGTTGGTCGAAATTTGCATGAGACAGTCTGGACGCTGACATGGCCAAAGATGGCCCCGAGTCTACGGGATTTGATTGATTTTCTCCTTGCGGAGATTGCTCTCTGCGGTGATCAAGGTCAGTTGCTCGCTCGTACGACTTTTTCTTTTTCCTCCGGTCGTGACGGTCTCGAAAAATCCCCACCGACATGGTCAACCCCTGCATGCGCCATCCGTCTGATTGGACCATGAAGGTTATAACATTCAGCTCGGGTCTTTTCAAACGGCGAACCTTGCCTTTGGATACCTGCATAAACTTTATCGCCTTATGATTGCAATGGTTTTAGTACTATTATGACTAGTCAACTAACCACTTTCAGGCGCTTCTCCTGCTGATATACTAACCTTTATTGATACTTTCTATGCCAAGGCGGCGCAAGATGCAGCTGGCCGCGCGCACACTGTGGACCGCCGGTTCCAGGAGAAGGTCTGGTCCTGGCTAATGAAGAACCCAGAGGTATCAGTTGGCAAAGACAGAGAAGGCAATCATCTCAGCCTCCGGGATGCCGAGCGTGGTCAAACCAATGCGGAGACAGACCAAGCCGCCAACGGAGCATCGGACTCGGCCCGGGTGTTTGTGTCCAAAGAACGAACCTGGCTCGCAGTGGCTGGTCACGGACCGGATGAAACCAAGGTGTTCCCCACGGAATTCGCTCTTCTCTCTATTATTGCATCGCGCAAGCACAACGGCATTGCGCAGACAGAACTAGTCAGAGTCAGTGGCCAGGACAAACGTTCCGTGCCGAAGCGTACGGATGTTCTGCAGCAAAAGGGCTACATCGAGAAACGCGCCATTCAAGTCAAGTCTACTCGTACCAGTCTTTGTACCTTGCGCAAGTTCTTGACACCAGAGCATGCCCCTGTAGACAGGGACTCTGGGCAGGATGCAGATGCGACCAAGCAGGAGAACATGATCGATTTCAAAGAGTTTCTTGACCAGCTTTTCCAAATCCTCCAGGAATATCAGATTATTTCTCGCAATGACTTGAAGCAGAAGCTTGGGTTTCAAGATCACTGGCGCTGGAGGATCCTATCCCGTGCGCTTCGGAAGTTTGAACGTATTGGCGTTCTTAAACGTGTTCGAGCTTTGTCTCAGTATGCCGACACTCTGAAGAAGTTCCACCCTTGCGTCATGCTTATAAGAGAACCAACGGAGAGAGACTTCGAACTGTTTAACGAATTCAGTCGCGGCATACTTTCCAATCTAGAACAGGAAGATAATCTCGACATTGAGGATGATATGGAGCGAGATGGCACATCACAGAGCCCCTTACAGCCAAACAGCAACGGCACGGTCGGTCTAGTGAAGCGTGAAGCAGTAGAAGAGGCTGGTCGGATTCTCCCTTCTTGGTCCCCAGATAGGAGCATTCACAATCAGATCTTTGAGATTGTTGATCGAACAGGAACCGATGGTATCACCAATCAGGTAAGCACCTGACATACTACTGTGACAGCCAACGTTTACTGAAGCTATCAGGGGATCCTGAGAGCCTGTTTTGGCGGCTATTTCAGACGACCTTTGGAGAACGCAGTGAGTCGTCTCGTAGAATGTTGGCAGCTATCCCAACCTCTTCACCTGCGCCATCTGGCTATTGTGAGAGATACGGCACTTCAGCGCACTATCACTCATTATGTGCATTATACTGCAATGAACTTCAAGCAGCTGGTCGAATCAGGGGAGGCGCTGTGGGAGGCGGTTGAGTTCGCTCCGAAAAAAGCAAAGTCAATTAGCGCACATATTCATCCTGTTGATGCTGCTCCTCAACTTGATGCTCATGGGCTCACCCTCGCTGTGCCAAAGAAGGAACTATGCAAGGATGGGAACGTTACACTGCTGGAGTGTATCTCGGTAGTTAAACCGGCAAACTACGTCTTTTCAGGCAGCGATGCCGTAGCGGCACGCCGGGAGGATGGAACATACACGATTCATCAACGTATTCGGGGTTCTGGTGACTCAACTGCGCAGCCTTATGCCACGCCGATTAGGGTGAAGATAGAAGGTCAGGAGGGCTCTGATACAGAGATGGCTGATGTGCCTTCTGTGAAACTGGTCAAAAGCCGCCCAAAGAAGTCGCAACTTGATCCCGAAGTATTCCGGGGCATGTCTGAAAAGGAGAAGCTTGAGGCTCTTGGATTGGATGAGACTTGGACGGAGTACAGCGTCTTGCTCATAGAACGCACCGGGCCGGGTGTGTACGTTACTACTCGTGGACGTCGGCGACCGGCAGGCAAGAGGCAAGGGCGGCCAAAAATCAGTCGGATCGCCGTGTTCAAGACACCAAAGCTGGCAACTTTGCCTTGGTTCCTGAAAGACACAGCCGAGCCAGATGACGAGTCTGTGCTTGTATCCAGGAAGACTCGTTTGCAGGCCAGCACACAGACTCAGTCCTCTCCTGCAGTTGATGATGGTCTCCCACCCCAATCCACTTCTCCAGCTCTTTCTGTTAGAGGCTCGAAGAGATTGCGTCAGGATGGGTCAGATACCGAATATGGCTTGGAGGGTGAAAATGGGCCAAAGCACCGGCGTGTTGAGGAAGTCAATGGGGATACGCAAGATGGTTCGCCGACTGCAGTACCGCTCGAGCGTGAACCTGAAGCGACACAGACGTCGCCCTTGAGACGAACCAAAAGAAAAAGAGCAGCGTCGCCTATGCTCACAGAAGAAGGCCCCTCGCAGACAGACAACGGCTCTGTATTGGATAATGTTTCGTCTCGGAAACTCCCGCGGAGCAGCGGCCGACCCGCCACTCGCAATGGGGATATAGCAACCTTTTTTAAACGGGCTCGCTCTGGACAAGCCTTACGAGAAAGGAAAGGTACAACCATCGAGTCGGCCGCCGAAACCGGAAAAGGCAATGCTGCCGTTGAAGATGAGTCTGAGGCTTCCGCGGCGGAAAGGCCATCGGAGAGAGGTGCCGTTACCAACGAATCTTCAGAAATCGCTACGACAAACGACACGACTCAACAAAGCTTGGCTGAACCAGCTGCGCCCGAAGCGACAGAACAGAAGAAGAGTGCCCCAGAAGCGCCTGAGCCATCTGGTAGAAAGCGAAGAATATTCGCAGAGAAAGGTGGTTCTGTCGCTGTTCTCCGGAGGTCGATTGTCATGGATATCCTGGAACAAGCTGGCGGCGCGTATCCTATGGGCACAGAAATCTGGTATCCATTTATGACAGCCTGGCAGAAGAAGAGACACAAGGAAATACCAGATTTGCGCACAATCAGATCGGTCGTCAAAACCATGGTTGACGCCGGCAAAGTCCGGCAGTTGACTTTCAGTGGGCGAGACCGGAAGGGTGTCATGGTAACGAAGAAGATTATCTATAAGGCTGACATGAAGCCCGACGACCCCCTGATTTTGGATATGCAAAAGGAAATGCTGGCCACAGATCGATACTACTTTCCTCCTAATGTTGAAATTGACCCAGAGATCTCAAAGAATGGCAATCGGGGTACGCCCCGAAGAGATGAGAAGTTACTCTCCCAGCTCCCCGTGGAACGGGGCATTACCGTACAGCTGCACCAAAAGCCGGCAATGGTTCGCGCTGTGGAAAAGCGCCGACGCCATATGCTGCGTAGCGAACTGTTGCAACATCTGAGTATGGGAGAGGAGTATGAGACAGCAGACGGTGCAGAGATCGTGCGACTCATGACTCTGAGTCGTCGCGGTGACCAAGATGATCCACGCGCATTGACATCAATCTCCCGACCGGGGCGTGCGGGCGATGGGTCCAGACGAGGACAAAGACAGCAGGTGGAGGCAGGGCTGGCTTCACTGCGCAAGATGAGGCGACTGTGGTCTACTATAGCACCCCACGCGATGCTCATGAATACGAAGCCGACGTTCCATGCCACCACTGGAACTTTTGGTACAGAAGCTGGAATTCCGGCTATACAAGCTGCAAGAGACCGCGCGAAAGCGGCAGGAAGAAAGAAAACACACGACCTACCGCATTCCCTTGATGATCTGTTCAGCCAGACGCGGAGACGAGTCATGGACGACACTGGAGACGCTGACCCACGATCACGCCAGTTCTTCCGGGATAACAATACTATTCTCAAGTGGGAGCTCAGCCACGAGGATTTGCTCCGTCGAAAGAGCGCAGATCTGTTCTATATCAACCAGACTGTTCAAAACATGGAGACTCCTGGTATCGAAGGCGATATCCGGTTCGATGTCGACGAGCAGACTGGCGACGTAGCTACAGAAGTGACACCCATGATTACTCGACATAAGGCGCGTCTGGAACGTCAATCTTCACAATCGCGGCGAAGACGGTCCGAGACTGCTACCGAGCCTGGGCATCGTCGTCTTACCAAGTTGAATGAGAGCATTGCCACTGACGGGAATAAGCTCGCTTCGGCTCAACCCGTCTCGCGCCAGCCATTACGCCGGAGCCGTCTTGTCTCGCAGATGCCACGGACACTAGTCCAGCAGTTCATAGCCGCAATTGTTGCTGTGCGCAGTTTAGCTGGAGGGTCCGATGCTCGTCTGGTTGATTGGTCCCTTCTTTGCTGCTGCTTTCCGGACTTGGATCCAGCCTTTGTTATTCACCGAGCTAGAGGAATACTTGGAAAATATCGTCTGCAGATCGCCAAGTTGCAAGGCGATTTCCAGGAACGGTTCATCGAGGCGTATGCTAATAACGAGGTCCCTCCCATTGACTACGACAACCTGGAAGGGTATGACTGGAAGGGGGTAATCGAATGGGCGAACACGAAACTAGATGCCCCCAAGTCCGAGAAGCTCCCCGATCTACCTGCAACGCGAGAACAGTTTGACAGCGTCTTTGAACTAAGGGAGGAGGCGCTCGTACCAATCGATGAACTGTACCAAACCAACCAGTCGATAACCGTGGGCCGCAAGCGCGCCCTGATCGCTGGTGTCCCATTCGCTGCTCCTGTGCCGGAGAAATCCAACCGGCCTCAGCCGCGGAGAGCGGAGCTGTCCCGCTTGGAAGTGGTCAAGACTTGGGTGCGAGCCAACGTGGTGACGCCAGAGGAGAAGTACCGCCCAGCCGAGGCGCGACAGGCACTAGAGATATTCGGAGAGCACGTGGTGCAGCAGGCATTGCAGTCTCTCGTAACAGAAAGAGCACTCTCCATGGGCAACCGTGGACGCATTACCCCAGGCCGAAACTACGACGTGACAGAATACTTCCTATTGGCACTGGGCCGGCGACGAGTCATCGAAAGTACCGAGCTGCGGCGAGCGCAGCGATTCAAGACCGAGATCCTGGATCCGACACTGCGCAAGCAAGGATACATGGACATCGACTACAACGCAGAAGACGGCGACATGCTTGTAGTGATCAACCTGTTTGCCACGGGTCGTGTGGTGCTTCACCCGCGCGATGTGCCGCGCGAGAAGTACGGACTAACGGACGGGGGCTACCTGACGCGGCAAATCGACAAGGACAAGCTGCGATTCTCGATGGAGGTGCGACCGGCCAAATCGTACGTCTATGGCAACCCTATCCAAGAGAAGATGCGGAGCCTGGTAGCACCGCGTCCGCAGGGCGTCGACGCGGCCACGCAGCTGCCAGCGAAGATACCCCTGTGGTACGACATCCACGGGTCGTTTGTCCGGGTGCTGTGGGACATGGCGTTGGCGGCGGTCGTGGGATGCGTGGCGACGCGGCCGGGGATCAATGCGAGTGTGATAGCGGGGATGTTGAAGCCGACGATGGGCGAGTGGGAGGTGCAGTTGCTGTTGGAGTGGTTGGAGGGGGTGGGTGTGGCGACGCAGGAGTCGGGGTGGGTAGTACGAGAATGGTGGTGGATGGTATTGGGTGATATTTAATGTACATTGGCAGATACAGATTTAGTAGCTCGAACTTGATGTATGTAAATGACCAATATAATGGCAGACACTGTTTTTTTATCTTGAGTGTATTACATACAATGCCTGCCTACCTACCTACCTACTACAGATAAAGCGCCAACATAACCTAACTTCTCTCATATCGCTCTCTTACTTTCGGGAAATCATTCCCTCATGCTACAACATCCGGAACATTTCAATCACAAACTCACATTGACATTACCACTTATTCCCCACCAAAACACATCGTGTGGAAAGCCTAACACAAAAACACCTAATATACAAAAACCATAACCATTATACCTAATAACCCAGGGTACTTATAGATACCATACCATCCAACGCCAAATAAACACCTTTGCTTTCATGTGGAACACAGATATAAGTATAAGGTAAAGAAAGAATCAGGATCAGTCCATGTCCATGTCGCGCGTCAGCCGTCGCAGGATCATGGCTACTAGGGCGATGATGACTCCGATGATGGCTCGGTCGAGCCAGGGGGTATCTTGAGATGTTGCAGCAGCAGCAGCAGCAGCAGCTGGTGCTGCAGCAGGCACTGGTGGTAGAGGTCTTGTTGCTGGGGGAGTATGTTGTTGTAGTTGCTGTTGTTGTTGAGGCTGCTGTGGTTGTACCTCAGCTTGAGCGATCTGAGACGTACTATCTGCACCCGCATCCACACCTGCAGATATACCTGCATCCGCAGCTGCAGCCTCATCCCCATCCTTACCCTCACTTTTATCCTCCTCCCCCTCAAAATCCTCCTCCCCCTCAACCACCCCCCCCCTCTCCCTACAAACCCCCCACCACTCCCTCATAACCACCTCATTCCCCCTCCCCTTACTCCCCTCACACCCGTCACACCTCCACGCCCTACTCTCCCTCGCATACCTCCTCCTCACCTCATCCGCCACATCCAACCCGCCCACCTGGCCCTTCGCATCTCCATCCATGAAACTCCGCAATGCAATCAACGCCGTCCGAATCCCCCACGCGGGCTGCCACGTCTCCTCATGATGGCCGGAGATACTGAGGCAGATCTCGCGGTTGACTTCGAATCGCCCCGAGGGCGTCAGGAATCGGAAGCTGGGCGGGCGGAGTGGGTATGTGGGTGGGAGGGTGATGCGGCCGTGGTAGATGCCTCCGGCGTAGGGGGAGGGTGCTGGGGGGCCCAGCAATGTGAAGTGCCAGTCGAAGAGGTTGGTGTCGGATACCGGGGCGGCGTGGAAGTAGGGTGATGGGTTGGTTTGGAGGTCTGTGGATTCTTTGAGGAGGCGGCGGGTCGAGGGGGACATTGTTTTGTGTCTTTCTTTGTGGGGGTTGGTGGAGTCACACCGGGTCGGTTGGTGATGTGGGTGGTATTTATTTATGTAGGTAGGCTTTGTGTGTGTGATGGTGGATGGTGGATGCTAGATGATTTAATGGGTGAGGTATACGTGATGATGGATGGTGTTCGGAGATATAGATAAGGTGGAGATCCGGATAGGCCAGTTGGCCTGACGTTTACATGCCTTAATAATAAGGTGTCATTCACATTCCATTAACTCCGTAGTTTAATATCATTCATAATAGTTCTACGCGTTTAAGCATTATCATCCTAGTATATACTAATACACATCAATCCCAGCTCCGCCATTCATCCTCTCGCCCGTGCATCTCCTCTTCGCTCATATCTCCCTCGCTGTCCTGCCCCCGCAGCCGTGGTGACATCGGCGCCAATGTCTTCATCGACACGCCCGTGTTCGGCCGCTCCGGGTCACGCACCACATCCAGTGGTTGGTTCGGCGTCCAGTTGGCTGCGGCAGATGCACCCCAGGCATGGCTGTTGTTCATGTTCCGCTGGTACAGGTCCCGCTGATATTGCTGTTGCTCCGCCGCCTCCCGCTCCCGTCGCTGCCGCACGCGATCGCGCGCCTCCATGAACTTCGCGCTCGGCTCCCAGTGCCAGCCATCGCCTGTCGTCGTACACACCGGCACTGGCCACAGCAGCGGACGGTCACCGAACAAGTGCCGCAGATTGCGTCGCCATCCCAGGTCGAATGCGTGTGGCATTTTCTCGCTGTCCTCCTCGTCCAGGTAGTTCTGATACCGGTCGTGCTCACGCTGGCGCTCCATCTCGGCGTATGATCGCGACAATGCCTGCTGTGCGGGTGACATCCGCATCCCGGACGGTGATACACTGGGCGGAGGAGTCGGTTCCTCGCCCTCTTCGGCCCGCGTCACTCCCGGGATCGCATTCGCGTGGGCGTCGAGGATCTGTCCTCCGTAGTCCTGCAGCCGGTGACCGAAGCCTTCTCGATCGCCCCCTTCGCTGCCCAGCACATTCTCGTAGCGGTGGCGATCCAGCGCTTTCCGCAACGGAGACACATACCGGGTCTTCTCCAGACACTCAATCGTCGTGATTCCCCGCAACGCCAGGCTGATATGCCAGACGGTAAAACCTGACAGCACCAGGCCAATAATACCACCCAGCACTGCCAGCAACACCACGTTGATCGGCAGCATCTTATCCACATCGATATATTTACTGTCGTCCAGCATTTCCGTCCATATCCACAGCGCCGCGACGATGAAATCCACCCAGCAGAAGATCGACGTATATATCAAGAACAGCAGAAATGCTTTGTAGTTGTACAGTCCGACACATGTCGCCAGCCACGGACAGTGGTGATCCATCTTCAGCACGCAGCGCTTGCACGTCGAGCAGTGGTGCGCCCGGTCCGGTTTTGGGCACTGACATTTCTTGCAGAATCGGGATCCACCGGTCGAACTTACGGTGTAGGCGGTATATTGTGGTAGTTCGGTCACTGGAAGTGCACTATATTCATGTCGACCGCGGCCGCTGGGAGTGAGAGGGGATCCGGGATCGGTGAAGACGGCGACCGTGTAGCATGCGTTGAGGCAGATGTAGAGGATGATTCCGAGGAAGGAGCTTGGGATACCTAGTTCGTAGGTCTGTAAGCATATGAGTGAAACACTGAGAAACCACGGTTACACACCGATCCAAGCACTCTCAGACGGCTTGAAGCCGACACTGGCCTCGACCCAGACAGCCCATGTTGTTAGGCTGTAGACGAATGCCAGAGGAAAAAATGATGCTGCCGTGCAGCAGTAGCGTTCAATGCGGAGAGCCCAGGCCCGCGGACGTCGTTTCGGCCACGAAGGCGAGGATGGAGGTGAGGCTGCCAGTGTTGCCATGGTCATGGGGAGTATGGAGTATCAGCGAGATGACATCCACGTTGCGAGCGACGATTCAAATCATGGCGATAACCGAATATACAAGGGTGTGGTGTCAGCAGCGCAGCGGTGACAACTCGAATGTACAACAGTTGGAGAATACACTCTACTATAAACGAGTCTAGAAAGGAGTCAAGTGGGAATGAGAGATGACGGGGAGAGCGGAAGTGGAGGGAAGGAATGGAACTGATGGATCTGGCGATCTGAGGCACCACATTATTCTTACGTTACATGTACCGTACCGCACAGCCACGGTTTGCCGATCACATGCGCCTATATTTAGATTGTGGCTCGGCACCTGTTGGTTGTTCACAAAACAGCTGCCTGGTATTATTTACTCTCAACTACCGCGCAATCATAATCATTTATCATTGGGATTTCCATCCCATACTATGGTATAAACATGAGTCGCTGGTGCAACTACAGCACCAGATACAAGTATCCCAAACGCCGCTGATACTGCCTCGATATATGATAACCGCAGATGCGACAGGATATCCTAAGAAACCAGACCAAACCATATACCAGAGAGTATAACACAGTGAAGAAAAGAAAATTTCGGAATGTAGTCGCTCAGGAGGTCTTCGTTGTCGTTGTCGTCGTCAATTGGCCTTCTTCGCACCATCCATTGACAGGCTGCGACACAAGTTAGCACGAGCGTATCCCACCAGCATTGCGTTACTTACCAGACAACTCAACCGGTAGCACCAGGAACAGTTGGACTTGGGATACTTGTAGAAATCGACAATCAGAAGGATAAAGCCGACGAGCACCGCGACCAAGGCGCCCGCGCGAACCAACCACCATGCCCACCACAGTGGCTTCCGACCTCGGAAGAAGTTCACTGGGTTCCACTTGTTGTTGCTAGCGCCTGCTCCGGTGCGAGTCCGACGTCCCTTGAGGAAATCAACTAGGCTAGGTCCAGTATTGACCTTCTGGTTGTCATCGGGCGTGGGAGTGCCCGCCCCGCCGCTCATGGCAACGTACGGATTCCGCGCCAGGCCAATCCTCTCGCGCAACGCGTTAGGCGACCGAAGAAGACACAAGCCCAGAGCCAGCCCCATGATGAAGCCTCCAATGTGAGCAAAATTATCCAATCCTGGCAAAAGCCCCAACACGAACGACACCGCAATACCCAGGATCATAATAATCAACTCCACCCAAGGAGAAGCGCGGTCCTTCCAGGTATATAGGAGGTCCAAGATGAATAGAGCGAGGATGCCGAATAGAGCACCAGAGCAGCCGCACGACGCCTCGCCCTGCCCAGCATAGTTGCCGCCCAAAACAAAGCCCCAAATTCCACTGGCCACATAAACCAGGAAATACCGCCACCAGCCGATCATCCGCTCCATGTCAACTCCCATGGTCAACTGCACGATCAGGTTGAAGCCGATGTGGATGAATCCGGTGTGGATAAACATGGGAATAATAAACCGGAACCATTGATTGGGCGCCGGGTTGTCGTCAAGCGATCCGTGTGGATGAGGGTTCGGTACACCGTTGAAACCGCACGCTTCGGACAGTGTGCACTCGGTCGCCGACGTGGTGGCATTCGGGCAAGAGAAGAGAATTGTTTCGTTGGCGTTCTGAATGCCAGGTACGTTCTTCATGCATGGTGTGTAGCGCGATCCCATGTAGATTTGCATGTACGAGGATGGTCCGATCATCACGTTGAAGGATGGTTTCGTCTCGATAGGAGAGCCTGTAAATTGAGCTGCAGAAATATTAGATGGATGGATTGCAAGGGACCTCTTTGCCAGCCGGACATACCATTCTTCACCAATTCCACGATGAACACGATGATCTGAACCAACGTAAACGCATATGTTACCCACGGGATCTTCTTCTGGAAGAATCCCTTCTTCCTATTCCTGTTCCTCCGCGCTGTCGGAGCGACCGATGGTTCGATATCTTCAGGGGTGGGCGAATAATGAGTCGGCTGGTGCATCCAGTTCGGCGGCGGAGATCCATTCGCATATTGATTGCTCTTCAGCGGAATGTTTTCAGAGTAGGTTTCATCATTCAGCCTTCCACCAGCTGCATATGCTTGGTCGGAACCGAGAGATTGTTGACTGTGGTGAAGTTGCGGATCGGCTGCCGTGGGCTCGTAAGGATGTGTGTGGAAGTCAGGATGGCCTGGGGTCGGAATGTTATCGAAGTGAGGATTAGCTTGCTCATAGGAAGGCGGGTTGTTGCTATAACCGCCATGGTAGTAGCTGTTGGCTGCCATATTGAATGGACAGCCGGGCGGGCGAAAAGCGCAGACAAGGAGGTCGTGTGTCAATCAGGTCAGTGTGATTGCCGAGTGCAAGCGATTGTCCGGTAAGCTTTTGGATAGCCGATCGTGTGGTTGCGTAGTAAACAGTAAGAAATTATTTTTTTTTTCCCTTCTGCGAACGAGGATGGTTTGTTGACAGGGGGTTGTCTGGCAGAGATGACGACGGCACGTTTGGCGGGCAACAAGCAGGGCTGAAACAATCAATCAGAGAAATGCCCCTGACCCGGAACCGACCTTGAACTGCGGCAAATGGCCCCCAACGATCCAACCAAACGAAGGATCTATCTCTCTCCAGCGGAATTCAAGGGGAAAAAAGAAGTAACGAGAGATTCTTCCACCCAAAATACACAGACAAGGGACGGGGAATAACACGGTCAAGAGAAGGACAAATGAACGAAAAGCCGGTGAGATAATAAAAGATGGGGAAGAAAGACACAGGACGAAGTTTAGGCAGGCGGTTTTCAGTCTGGGCGGGCGACTATTTTTGGGCGCTGCTGATCTCCAAGAAACTTCGTCGTCAGCCGCCAGTCCAAATGGAAAAACACTCCCCGATGACTGAGCAACGCGGATCCAGTCATTGTGAAGCGTCAGTTTGGTTGTGTTCCCGCAGGCCACGCAACATCCCGCCGACCGTGAATATGGCTTTGAGGCTATGGCACAGCAGAGCAGTATTTAGTTACTAGTGACCCGTTGCATCATGGCGGTGTTCCCCCCCACCACGATTTAAAGACAGGGCTGGGCATGTTGTGGCTGGTTATCGTTGGCGTATGCCTCTCTCCACTTCATTAGCAAAGAGTTATTGTGTGCAGCAGCGTGTCTACTCTTGACCGACATCCCCTTCCAGCCTTGTCATAATCATGTCCCCTGTTTAACTATCAACCCGATCGCATGCTCGTGTCCACGCATGCTTCCTTACACAGTTAGTACTTCAGTACTTACGAACAACACTAAGTGATGAGGGAAATCACATCCCTTGCTGCAGACCAATCATACACGGGTTCATATTTGACATTAAGCATTACTAGACATTTAACAATACCATTCGCCTAAACCCACACGAGGTTCATCTGTACATCGATTCGCGTGTGGAATCCGATCTGGGAGACATCCTATACCCCCCCGACCCTGTTGTCCGGAGCGACTCATTATACAAGCCAAGGAGGTAAAACCAAGAATCCAAACTCACGAGCTCCCAACCCAGGACTGAAGGGTCGGGTGCTCCCGTCTCTATCAGGGTGGAATGCCACATTACTTGCCGTCCTACACGCTGGGTCCGCGTGTTCGCATTAAAAATCGATGCCTTTCCGTTCAATTCATTAAGTCTGTGCGCAGCAACGCGCTAAAGGTTGATCATAGTAGTCCCGGAACGCCACGGCAACGCCATCATATAAATCGAATGTACGGAGTACAACAGGGTCTATCCCAACCCTCACGCGTCAGCTGCACAACGCACTGTGTAACTCAAATCAGCGATTACTTACCATTATGACAGACCCTGTTGTCTTATACCAAAAAAAAGCAAATAAACCAAGAGCAAAAATAATATAGTCGTGATGTTGGTCAGGCAGATGCGCTTGACCAATGGTCAGGTGATTCGCTTAGGTGGAAGGCGTGGATATCGAGTTGACGTGCGAGTCGAGGATGCCCAAGGCTGCACCCATTTCCTCGCTGCTGTGTCCGGTCAACAGCCATACGAGACGGCTGAGCTTCTGGTACAGCAACGCGGGGAAATAAACCAGCAGTGCCCAGAACAGCAAGGACAAGACGACCATCACGAAGGTGTTGGCCACCAGCTTCTCCCCTGGCGTCATTACATAGAGTCCAAATGTAACCTCGTAGCGGTAGTATTCCAGCCGGATACGGTCGACAGATCGCTGCAAGATGTTGCGCCGGGGTTGCTTCATGGACAAATGACTCGAACAAGGGGAGTTCGTCATGGTGGAGGAGTATTTGTTGATCAGCTCATCCACTGCAGCCGGCGCATGCGACGAGATATGTGTGGAGGTGGAGGGGGTGTAGAACGACTGCATTTCCGTTGCCATTGTCAAACAACACTAGAGGAGTCGCACTGAAAGGGCCGTTGCTTCCCTGCGCTACACGTTGTCGAGTGCTCAGCGCTTTCCTGTCCGCTGCCTCGGTCGGATATCGTGCTGAGCAATCGCTCGGGAGTGACGCAGGTCCTTTGGCTCTGAATTAACTGGCCGTTAAGATCCTAATCAATCTGGGGCGAGCGTCTCCGGGTCTCCGCGTCTCAATAGTCGGCCGTGAAGGGGGTTTGATTTATCGAGGTAAAACTCCGTTAAGATTGGCTATGGGGGGGGAAAGGACCGACGCGAGAAGATCGGAAGCCGGGGAAGGCTTAAGAACTAAACAGACCGTTGCTGAGAAATACAGAAGCGGGGTCAACGCAAGAGAGGATACAAGTAGCGGAGATTAAGAGGAAGAGGAGGAGAGCAAGCAGTAACCGACTAAGACACCAGGGGAGGATGAAGTGAGAGTTGAGTTGGGGGAAGATGGAGGAGAAAATCGGTAAGGCGCGGATCGAGGAAAAGCCGCCGTGAGGGATGATTGGAAGATGGAAGGTCTGCTCAGGCAATAGTCCAACTAGTCCAGCTCCAGGGCGTCCTGGCCAAGAATTAATTCGAACTAAACAGCCGCGGATGACTCCAGTGTCTGGGATGGTGCAGAGTCCAACTGCTGCAGAGTTGCTGGATCATCGTCATAGAAATTAATTTGCAATGCGACGCTCGCGAGGGCGACTCGGTCATTGGCCGCAACCGGCGCCCGGAAGTCATTTGCTGGGAGGAGCTTCGGCTCTATCGGCATCGCCCGCGTCGGTGGTGGTTCCTTCCTTGGTTCTGTGTGGTTTGATTTTTTTTTTTTTTTTTCTTCTTCTTTTTTTCTTCTTCTGTTTTTTTCTCTTGTTTTCTTCCTCTTCTTGTTTTCCCTCCTTCCTCTAGACAGTATGTTCTCCATCTTCAGCCCCGTCCACTCGAACCTTGATCCCTATAACACACTTAACTATTCCCGTAATCAGTAATTCTTCCTTCCTCTGCCTAATTTACGGGAAATACATCATCCCGATGGAGCCCAACCTTCTTTGCCCCGGACTTTCCACTTTAAGAAGCTCATCCCCCCCTAGCTAGCATATCTCGCGCGATAAGAGGCGGCAGGGCGTCCACGAGCGTTCACATTATGATAGTCCATGTGTGCCCAGTTCCTTGCATAAAGTTCATAACGCCCTTGATCGCGCACGTCCCCCTTCGTTGAGGTAAGCGGCTGTGATACCCGTCGGAGTGGAGACTCCCGCAGCCAGATGGTCGCTCATTCTATGGAGCAAAGGGAAAATAACTGCGGTGCCATGCAGGTTGGACGTTCAATAGAAGTATCGGGAACTAAATACCCTGCAGCAAGTCTGTTAGCAGATTAGGTATCACAATCTTTGTGTGTTGTGTAACTCTGGCTGCTGGTCTTCCATTTCGGAACCAGGAACCTTCCCCGGCTAGTTTGAACTATCCTGGTCAGTCGAGTTACCTTGGCACGATGATCTACCGTGGTTGGATTCGCAGCCGTCTGAGAAGCATAAGCAATTCGAACTAAGCAGAATCTTTATTGAGAGATTGTTGTCGATGAACTGGCCAAAGTTACGACCTTGACTCTGGTGGTAAATGCCGGGTGTAAAATCTCTGGGTTCTGTCGGACTTTTGTTGTGGTTGCATGGCGCGAAATGAAATATATCTTCATTCACTCAAGAAACTGCGGCCTTTGGCATGCTCTCATAGTCACTACTTGACTGCGGACCACACATACCATGTTTGGAATATTGTCCTGCCAAAGCAGTCATGGCGAAATTCCCTTGTAGGATTATGTGCACATGTGGCCTTACACCATGTCAAACTTGATTGGTAGCTCAATGCGCAGTCTGCCATCTGCCATGTGACACGTATCAATCCAGCGAGCACACGTCGAGAACAATCGCATTCTGCATGCTCAGGCCACTGGGAAAGTCGAGTAGGTCGATGGTCAATGGGTTTGGCATACGGCAGATGATTAGCCTCCTGTGCGACGAGAGTTTCATCAACATGTGAGTTACACGTTATCCCTATTTGGTTTCTTACCCGTGCGCGTTAGTCATTGCGACTTCGATTAGCATCCTTAAAGTGAAGGTAAGGGTGATTAAAATGTTCAAGATATTGAGGAGAAGCGAATCAATAAATACACCCGGTGCTGGATGATTTCTTAGGTAATGTGTAAAAGCCCGGCCTGTTCCGGAGATAGCTTAATCTGGTAACTAAGAATAGAATACCGATTCACGTATATGGGCCGTACTGAAGGCTTTATCTACTGTATTGGAAAACATTGTTACATGCATAGGGCTGACTTTATGAGGTCAGCATGTAATGTGGCTCCATTGAGAGTTTAATCGACAATCTGAGCTTAGTGTAACTTCCTATAAGACCAGTCAATGCACTTGAGAATCTGCGAATATGCCCTACCACTAGGTCTCACAATGTAATTGATGGCGAGCTCGATGCTTCTAGCTTTTGTTGTCATAGAAGTTTTTGAAATAATTATCCATACGGATGGATGCAATCCCCTCGCCGCGCGCGCCGCATGACCTGTTAAAATCTTGTGAAATCTTCCATTCTTCCCACTCGGTCAAGCGAATAGTTTCTGAGTAACCTGCCAAACCAAGCCCATTAGCTAGGGGCTTGCATCAAACGATTCTAATAGTCTTGCTTCTCATACTCACATGCTCAAAGACAGTACAAAAAGGCTTCCGATCTAATATTGTTTCCTAATTGATGAAGCGGCTCCATTAATACTTACTCAGGTCGCCTTTGGCGGACGTATTGATTGGCCAAATGTATGTATGTTCCGTTTTCTCGTGATATTTGTTAGCAGCAGCTAGGTTAGAAGGACTGTTGCGAGAAGATGTACAGCTTTATCTGACAGCAAAACCCGACGGATTTTAGGGCGACAGATGGATGAACTTCAAGAATATACAACGCCAGATTATTTCAAGTTTGCTGAAAGCTTAGCTCTCTGAACTGTCCGCGCAAGCAAGAAGTCGACCTCTTGCTATGTGATCTTCTGCTCCATACCTTTTTCGACTCGCCTGACTTAATCACAGAAGAGAGCTTGCGATGGTGCCCCAAGACATTCATTCACGGCCTCCACCATCGCCAACTCCATTCCGGGAATACTGTCGGTATTAATCGAGTTACATCATGTGCAACGCCCTGGGTAATTCATATCAACTAATGCGCTCTTCATCTCTAGTGCAATATGGTCGAAGGCTACTAGAACCAATATGGTTCTTCCTGTCATTCTATACCCAGACTCAGACTAGCCCACCATATGTCGACATCCCATTCTTGGTCTTTGCCCGTGCATCATGTGGTCTAGAACTTGCTGACACACACAATCGCGCCATAATTTTGCACCACAACGCCCATAGAAGACCTCAGTGCCTTAGTTTTGTCTCACTATAGTTTTTTTTTGTTGAAGGAATTCGAGATCTGTCCAAATCAACGGGCACTTATTCCCCACTTAGCACCAAAAACCAGCCAGCTGTCACAAAGCGTCCGAGCGTCCGGACCGCCACGGCAAAGCCCAGAGCTCATAACCATTCGTCTACCCACGACTAGACATGTATCCTAAGTTAGCGACATGAGCGCGAAGACTAGCACGAGTCGCATATGTCTGCTTGGCAGCTAGAAAATTACGATTCATACAGGTAGTATGTACGAGTGTCTTGGACATGAGATTCCTTGTCAAGGTCTCCCAGATGCAAAACCTGGAACTACATTTCCGTATCTGTTATAAGTGCATTCCTATATTCAGAACACAAACTGCAGCTCATGAAGTTATAAGGAAAGTTCTACGCGAGCTCGTATGGGAATTCCTCAGCTTCTATGCAGGCATATTCCTGATTAACTTTAGACTTGGAAGCGCGGCAAACACGGAACGTGCGGAACGTCGGGCGCTGTACCTTGTAGGGTTGGCCCGTTGCAAAGGTACCTACAAGATATATGGGTCATGATTGGTTCTTTCCTTTCAATATTATCAACGGAATAACACGACGATCTTCATTTTATATTTATCTGATAACCAAATCAGTGATAGGTATTGCCCCCTAAACCAGGATCACAAAATGTGTGGAATATTGCTGTTTAGTAACATGAGTAGCAGACATGTGTGGATTGGTCTTTCGCCATGACTCGCGTAGTCAAGTACATGTCCGATGTAATGCGCCAATGCTGCATTGGTCAAGACGAAGGAGGGGCATTTCAGCACTTGTGATATTAAACACCGATGGGAGGGTGTCCACCTCGGGAGTACTTACCCGAAGGGTCTTTTCTCTACGCACAGCTTCAACAACAACCCGAGCAGAATATCTTTTCTTCACCCTTCTGACTGGCTGGCCTTTACTTCCGACACAATGCATACACTAGTAGAAAGAATCTGCAGTCGCCCGTGGATAATGCTACAGCTGAGATCTTATCTGACCAGTCCATAACACTCTATCTTTTTCGAGAAAAACATCTTCGAATCGTGCACGAAGTTGATCCCTCGGGCTGAGACCACATCCCTTCTGTCTTTGCCTCCGTCCAGAAAAATTTGCTCAACATGGTGGTGTGCTTGCAAGCGAGCTTGACAAAGTGCTTGATGCAAATCTGTTTGGCTGAACCACCGCATCACTTCTCAGCTTCGGAGACAGACACTGGCTGAGGATTCCTACGCGGCATTGTCATGGGCCGGAAATTATTTGCGTGGTCTTGGAATTGGTCCAGACCGCCTGCAGCAGCTCAGAAATCCGCTGGTGACAGACTAGGAGCAGACACTGTACTCTTGGCAAGAGGCCATAGAGCACTCAAGATAACCGAGCAACTACTCTTTCTCTCCGCCAATGCTCGATGATCGTAAAGTAAGAGTCTTGGCACAGCAATATCTCGACATGAATAGCGGGACCTACGTTACAACTCAGGATCAACGTACCAGGGCCACACTGGAACAAAGACGCCAGCCATCGCCGCACCGGGGAAGATAGAAGATTACTCGGCGCTTCCGCCGCTGTACATCGATGTCGGCTCATGTCAATCATGCAAAAAACAGAATGTGGCTTACGCCACAAGATTTCTGGATTACCGATCACAGGCCGATCTACATGTATGGCGTGGCGGTTCTCATGAATGACAACGCGCAGGAGTCCAGAGATTGGACCATCTGTACTACACACATCTGAGGGATGGATGGCGAGAAAAGTTGCAATGTGAGAGGGAATTATTATCCGGGGGAGGGAAGGCTGTTTCATGTACAGGCGACTGACCTTGTAAAGACTAAAGAACCAGGCGTCAGTAAATTGAGGAGATGGAAGCCATATTGGACCAAATCAGAACGCTAGACGTATCGCTTATAATCTGTGTGTTGTAGAGATGTTACAGTGAAAAAGCCATTTGTGTTGATTGTGGGAGATGAAGGGAATCACCTGATTTCCTCGACTTCCCTCCTTCCAGTTTCTAGCCTCTTCGACCTCTTCGTCGGAGGACAGGCAACCAACCCAGCAAAACTCTTGCCAGCACATACAAGGATTCCTGGGCACGAGAAAAAAAAATCTGAATCTATACAACAAACAAACAGGTGGCCACAGGCTAAGTACATACCCCGCATGGTTGACGCATAATAGCGGCTGACATATAGGCAATGTGTTCGCCTGGGCTCGGATCTAGACTGTGGCACATTTTTCCGCGGATGGTCAAACTGTCAGTCTTTCTAGGGGCATATTTCATTGAGAAATAGTACACTATGTCACTTCAACCGATTTCTTGAATACATCAAGTCACGATTTAGATTGAAAGCTGATGTTCCGGTTAGCACTAACATTGTTGTTTGTGTAGATTTGTTTACTATACTCTCAACAGTGCCATCGCCCCCATACACACCCGTGACATTCCTCAGCTAAAGGGAAAAATTTCTTTCCTGGGCTTTTCCACTTCCTGCAGTGAGACGAGTTGGCCAATTTGGCCCGTTTGTGGATCATACCGAGAGTGGAGGCAGGGATTATCGCTGAGCTTCGCTAGTCGACGGAGATGCTGGCTTATGCACGATGCCCGACAGCTGTCGTTGAGCAAAAGCTCTGCCGACAACCCCAAAAATACTCTGTGCAGTGTTATATTAATTAGTCGTCTTTAGTGTCGGGTATACCCCGTGACAAGGGTACATGGTCCTATCACCGTGCCTGTCAACTATTTTCCAGTCTGCGCCGGGCGCCCCCACCTGCTGTTAGTCTGACAGACGGTGGCGAGGAAGGATTTTCCAGGCCTCCTTACTGGTGCAATGCGCCAAGGAGGTACTGCGTACTGGGCAAGCCGTTAAGTAGCGCGGTGGCGAACTTTATATTTGCTACTGAAACAGATTTTGATATACCCGACAACCAGGATGGCAGACTGCAGCGTCTGCAACTGGACCCGCTCCTTTCCAGAACATAAATTGGCTATTAGAACAATGAGAGAAGGATGTAGTGGCAGGCAGGACCTGAGTTTTCAAAACATCAGTGTGAATAACCCGTTTCAAGGGCGTCTACGGCTCATTGACTATATCGTTGCCTCTACATTATCCTGATTTCTTTCTTGTGCGGTGCACCATGTCTAGAAACTGGAACTCCCGCTTCGACATAGTAGCGAGCTTGTAAGTTTCCTTACTTCTCTCTGATAGTGGGAGAGGCGCAGGCTGTTAACACATGATATTCTCTGTCAGAAGGGCCGCTAGACCAGTGTTCCAGACAGCACAGCTCGATATCACAGGAATCCCTGTTGTCAGCGACCAACAAAGTCTTCCAATTGAGTTGTCGAGGACCGAGGAGAGCCATCTACTCAACACGGGCTGGCCCCATGTCCAATCGCTCTGGCCCATCCTTGGGGTGGGAGAGTTCCAGGCCTATTACGATTCCCTGTGGACGCCGAGACGCAAAGTCCGGCAGTCATCAGCTCTTGTCGACAGTTTACTTGCCATTTGCATGCAGGTCACCAGTACTGCTGTCTCCAATAATGGATCAGGTCGCAGCAATGTTCGGATAGCCGGGCAACAGCTTTATAATCGCACCCGGCAACTTCTTCTAGAAGAGGAACAGGCGGCCCCAACGCTGGCCACGGTGCAGACTTTCATCTTCTCGAGCATCTATTTGCTGTACACAGACCGCATTGAGCCTGCATACGCCACGATCGACGGCGCAGTGCGTTTGGCATATGGGCTAGACCTCCACTACGATCCACCAGAGGGTATGGATGCGAGGCAGCGGGAGGTCCGGCGCCGGGTGTGGTGGGCTTTGTATACATTGGAGAGCTATCTCACGACTAGTATGGGACTGCCATCTCTCATCGTACAGGGTGAGGTATCATGCGGCTGGCCGACGATCTCCCCAATGAGCGGCTCAAGCTCGAATCACTTTCAAGTGCACTGGGCCAAGCTGCTCATGTCAATTCAGATCGTACGCACAGTCTTTGACCAACAACAAAAGGACATTCTCCGGGAAACCTACGAGACCGACATTAGCAACCTACCTGGCCTCCTGGAGTCTATCGCGATGTTCATGGTGCGACCTCTCAAGGCTGTCCGGGAAGGGCTTAAAGCAGTCCCTTCTCCGTTGCGGATTCCTCGAAAAGACGGTAGTCGGGGGTTCTCATTCCTCTTGAAAGGAGCAACTGTTAGTCTAGACGGTAAAGCCCCCTTATGGCTTCAGCGGCAGCAGTATGCCCTGGAAATCAGCTACCATAGTCTGAGTCTGGCGGTTTTACGACCTTTTCTCTACTTGCAGGGCGGCGATTCGGGCTCCATGCCGCGAGCACATGCGCACGCTGTCACTGGCGTGAAGCATGCCGTCACCTTAACGGTGATCTGCCACCAGTGTCTGACTGAAAGTGAAAGTCTTGCGAGGAGTCTCCCGATGTTCCGCTGCCAGTGGGATAGCTGCCTATACCTCATTACCTTCATTTTGGCCAATCCAATGTGTACCTTCGCTGCAGAAGCCCAAAATGCGGTGGATACTGCTGAGGTCGCATTTGCTATTCTCGTGAACAGTCTAGGGTTGTCGTGCCGAGCGTCAGAGATCATGGATGATCTTCGCAGGCGCGCAGAAGAGATGGTTCATCCTCCTGCACGCATGGTGTCACCAAGCCAGCCCGCATCGTGCATTGAGTCCGCAGCAGCATCCTCTCCAGGGTCTCATGTATCTAGCGGCGTCGTATCCGATCATGGCCATCTGGGCGCGTTTGAGGGGGCACAAATTCCACCCACGGTTGACCCATCAATTGGCTCTGATGTGGGTAGACTCGAATTTTTCACAGCGACAGAGTCCGAGCTATCAATGGAATCGGCGTTTGACGTGTCTAGCCTGGCACAGGAAGTACCGAGTTGGACCGACCACAGCATGTTGGCAATTAACATGAGTTGGGTGGGGGACAATATACTAGTTGAACCGTGGCAAAGTAATATGGATCATGTGTTTAGATAGAAATGGAACAGTTTAGACGGATCTAAGACATGCGTAGAGAGGGCATCTGAGTTCACATCCCGAAGTGCAGTCGGAATTTCCGACGATGGTGTGCCGAGCTGCAGGTAGTATAAATTTTAATTGTTTTCGGAGAAACCCCGCCCACCGCAGCTGAAGCTGAGACCCACCGGCCCGGGCCGGACTGTTTTAAATCTCCACTTGATATGTGCTGATCTCTATAACTGGCCGACACGGACTGCTAAGTACTGTGTACTTTTTACCCAGACAATGTCTTCTCAGTTCTCCCTTAATCAATCAAAAAACACTTTTCATTCTCTCACCCCTCCCCCAGCCCCCCTCACCCACACAAACCAACTAAATAGACAATCTAAACAGCCTGACACGCCACAAACCCATCATATTCCTCCGCCCCGGTATGCGTAATCAATCCCGCAAACTCATCCTCCCCATTAAAGATAATCCGATCCGCACCAGGAGAACCCCCATCATAGACCTTGTAGTCATCCAGAATCGGGTACTCGTAGTATGTTCCCGAGACGGTGAAATCGAACCCTTCGTAGTCGTGGTACACGTGCGGGTAGTCGTCGATTGTTCGCCCTTCTTCGTGTAAGGAGTACCCCTTTGCTTGCGCTTTGCTGATGTCGCTCGCCCAGTAGCAGTGGCTGCCGCAGTAGTAGACGCATTTCGAGTCGGAGCGGGATTCAGAGGGGGTGTGGGTGTTGGGGGAGGGGGCGGCGAGGGTAGATGTTAGGAAGATGGGGAGGAGGGTGAGGATTGTCTATAAGGTGGTTATTAGAGGGTGTTGGTGAGCTTAAGATGGGATAGAATGGGACAGGAGTGGGAAGGTGTGTATGTACCTTGAGTTGAAACATTGTGTTTTCCTTAATGGATGGTCTCTACTTATTTTTTCTTTTTTTTCTTCTGTCTTTGTTCTTGTCTGATGGTGTCAGAGACGAAGAGGATTCTCCTCCCTATTTATAGTACTCTGAATCCTCCCAGTACACCATTAATTATCCCATCTTCGTCACTGTATGCAGTCTATTCATGTAGCCATTAACATGAGCTCCACAAAGCAACCATCGATGCTAACAAGAATAATATCAACTCCGACGGAGATCGAGTACCTCAGGCCAGACTAACATCCTTTAACCCCTCCCTTGTTACCCAATTATAGTCTGAACATAATCAAACAAGCAGACGCCAAGAAAAGAACAAGCATCCCCCAAGATAAGCCACGTTCTCACATTACTCGTCGAGAAAAGAGATTTATCTCCTGAGGATCACATATACTAATTAATCCTCGGTAGCGTCCATCCGGCTAGGAACTCCGTCGGATGCTCCGGATAGAACCCACTCTTATTTTCATGTGTTCTCCAATGAGTGCTGGTCTTGGCTTCATGTGCGCGGGTATATATTTTTTTCTGGGGGTTATGGGTTATGGGTTTCTTGGTTCTTGAAGGATTTGTGCATGGGTAGTAGTGGGTGCTTGTTTTTTTGTTGGGGGATCGGAGTTCTTCGGACTGGATTAGGGCACGTGGTTGGGTGACTGGATTGTGAGAGTATATGAGACTGAAGATGTAGTTCACTTGGAGTGGGGGATGGATGCATCGGTGTACTGTTACTGTTGCGGGTGGCGCGGGAGCCCACCCCCCGCTGTACGCCCCGTGCCTTGGTTTAAAGCTGTAGGATTCATATTATGAATGCACATAGCCAGGAATGGTATGGTCCCGATGGTGCTGCCCTTTGAGTATGAACTCGAATCATGCCACGCTGTGTTTTAGTTGCTGAGCAAGGTGCTCCATGTTGATGAGTAGAGATATATGATATGATAACTAACTGAGCATTATAGATAAATAGTGGCCAAACGAGGGTGCATTCTTAAGCAGGCCGCTAGTCTCTTAATCCTGCACCAATAATATTCCAATAGCACCCATCTTATGGATAGATAACACAGCCCTCATTGGTGCCGAAGTACAATTATAGACGTCTTGGTCTCCAGATCGTAGAAGTGTATCTCCTCAATACGTAGTCCTACACGCTCGGCCAGCTCCGTCCATTGCTTCTTGGTTCGCTCCTTACCACCAAGTGAGATCATCAGTGATATATCAGCCAGTGTCGCTTGCCATGATGCAGTCACATCTGGTAGCACCATCTCGTCCACGAGGATTCTTGAGTCAGGCCCCATGGCAGTGGCCAGGTGTTGAAGGATCTGGGTGCATTGAGAATCCGGGTAGTCGTGAAGGATCCGTCGCAGGTAGTAGAACCTTGCTCCTGTTAAATCGAAGTTCTGGTTAGATGGTGATTGATATAGAGATATAGGATCTGCTCACCATTTATGGTCTGTGGCTGAAAAATGTCGTGAGCCATGACCTGGATACCGTCCAGGGGAGCAAGGTGGTCGACCGCTTCGGGCAGGTCCTGCAGCACAAGGCGTCCTCGGAGATAGGGATACTTGTCCCTGAGTTGAATACACTGGTGGCCATGGCCACCGCCGACATCGACGAAGAAAGGCTCTCCAGGATGCACTGCGCTTGGAGCAACGCGATCAGCTTCTTGGTGGAAGAGGTCGAAATCCGAAAACCAGTTCGAGGACTGAAGACCGGTCATGACTTGTTGTAAAGAATTAAACAGCTTTGGATGCTTGGATAACCACTCAAAACAGGTGAGGTCTGTTTGAAAGGCTGTTTGAAATGGGGTGGTTTTGTTATTTGTAATATCATCGTAGTTATTTTCTGCGAAGAACGCCGGAAATGCTTGACTGGCTGGCCCACAGGTTTCGAATCTGACATATGGATAAGTAAGCCAAAAACTCTAGTCTATATACCATGAACAGATCTTACGCGTAGAGTACGAATGCTTCCGAACGCTCATCGGCAAGCATCATGGTTGTTCGCTTGGCTCGGAATTGTCCTACAGTCGTCTCTTCGATGATACCATTTGCTGCAAGGTAACGAAGAATGCGTTCTGTGTTGCAAGTAAATGTAATGTTAGTTCCCCTAAATGCCTGCAGCTTCGATGAAAGATGCTCACCCAGAAGCCGCAGGTCAACCCTCAGATCCTTTGCCAGTCCCGATGCTGTCCATACGCGGTCGTCCACAGCCATTTTCCGGAAAAGGCCAGCATTCATTCCGAGCATGATGACAGAGACTCTGAGGTGCTAGGAAACGTGTCAGATAATGGGCGATATGATACATGGAGAACGCAGAGTACAGAGTTAAGAAGATCCATGATCATATCCATCGGGCTCTGAAGTTCCGGCAGGAGGGAGCGGAGATCATTATAAATGCTGGTGCGACCTGGCTCATCAGCCGTGCCGGCCAGGGTACGAATCTGATCGATGATAGAGTCCATTGGAAACGAATTGAGTGGTCTGGCGCATAGAAGACTAGCAGCACCATTGGATTTTATAGAGCTTCAGATCAGGGCTTGGCTCTCTCCGCGGAATATCCGCGGACTACACCAACGATGATTGGCTAGACTGAGGAGCCTTCGGATCCTTCGCCACCCTCGTGTCGACCCTCACGTCTTTTGTTGTGCATTAGCCATTACCATTGTTCCATTTGAATATTTAGACGTCAAAGAAGTGCAGGATGCCTCCTCGATCACATATAGAAAAGCAAAATTCCCGCTTGAGGCCTGTCTCGTGTCACTTTTGTCGGTCGCGAAAACTACGGTGCAGCCGTCAGCTTCCCTGCTCCAATTGCATCAGCCGTGGAATTGATTGCGGGCTGTATTCAGCTCCAGCAGCAAGTGACAGCACTCATAATAATGATAGCCACGGGACGGCTGATATTTTGACACGCCTACAACGGCTAGAGGACATCGTTCTTCGAACGAACAGTCAATCTATTCGAGCGCAAGATGCAAAGACAGATCGTCGTAGGAGTCCACCACAGTTAGCACGAAAGGATAAGCAGGCTGCAGCGGATGCAATATGGCTCGAAGCAGAGTGCGCAAGTCAGATATCTTGTGTAAGTGTGGTTCAAACTTCTGCCGGGACTCGAGCAGCTAACCAACACAGCGTTCGGTCGGAACCGATACGGCGACCTTTCGATCATGTTCGATATGGAGTATAAGCAGTGTTATGACTATTGAAAGTACCAGTTCAGGCCATTTGGTGAGAAGTTTTTCATTCCCACTATACCAGGAGTCCGTGGTTCTGCTTGAAAAATACTTGCGTGATATCATCTACATTCATCACGTTGTCCTTAGCGGTCCACTGCGTACAATGGTCGATAACATCTACAATGACATTGAGCATCAAGCGCCTGTAAGTCCTGGCCAGGTGGCACTTCTTTTTAGCATCCTGTCGAGTGCGATGTATACATGGACTCGGACAGATTCAGCCAATGCACCCTTTGCGGACCCCTCGAAGGTTAATGCAACATCTTCCCTATGGGTGAAGGGAACTCTCGACTTGCTAGATCACTGTCGTCGCATATCCCTTCAATCCATCGAAGCCATCCAGGCAATGATCATCATATCCTTTGTCATCGCTAATCTGGAAGGTATCAGTGCTCGATTCCGTGACCTGTTGTCAACAGCCATAACAGCAGCGCGAGAACTCTCGTTGCACAAAGTCGACCATCAACCAGAGATAGACGGAAAAGAGGAAACACTTGCTGACTCTGTTGACTCTGAAATGAAGCGCAGAGTATGGTGGTATCTGGTTGCTACGGATTGGTATGTATCATCGCCCACCGTTGCTCTCGCCGAAGCCGTTACTGAGTGGCACAGGATGGCATCACAATTCCCTGGTCCTCATAGAGGCACCTACAGCATTAACCCGTTACATATGGTGGTCAAAAAGCCTCGTAATGTTGACGATGAAAATCTTATGGCTGGTTCCCCCATCATTGACCGACCCAGGGAGCAACCTACCGAGATCGCATATAGCCTTCAGCGTATCAAGCTGGCAGAGATATGTCGGGAAGTCATAGACTCATCTTCCATGACCACATTTAATGACGGCGATATGGAGCCTGGGCGGCTTTTGGGGGTGGACAAGAGGATTGTTACATTCATCGTACAATTACCACAGTTCTTCCGCCTGGATGGAGATGCTCTCGACGGCCTCATTGCCAAGTACCCGAACATTGCTCCCGGAATCATGATTCAGCGGTACATCATCAATTCCTTGGTTCACTCACAACGGTGCCGACTACATCTCCCGTACTTAGCCCGCGGCTTGGTCGATCCGACGTATGCCCCCTCAAGAGAGGCTTGCCTGGAAGCAGCTCGGCGTGTCATACAGGCAGAAAGAATGCTGGCAAGCGAGGATATCCCGTTTGTGCTTACGAGGCTGAAGTTCTCCGGAATCTTGCAGTGTGTTGGTATCGCGATTATAGCCCTCTTTCTGGACATGTGTCTTTCTCAGGAACCTGGACCTCGGCAAGCGCGCCGGGCGGAAGTAGTCGATGCATGTAGCATTCTGAAGGACGCCACAAAAGACTCTCCCGTTGCCATCAGGCTTCTTGAATCGTTCCAGCGAGTTGTGCGAAAGCATGATATGTCGGTCAGCGAGGTCATTTCTGAGTCCCTCTGTGCCGACAGCAGCTCATCCAGCCTGACCGAGATCATTGCCGACGAACCGGACAGCATACCAGCTCTTCCCCACCTGGATGAGGTTTGGCAGATTTCGCAAACAGACGCGAACATCCAAGCATTCGATTGGGATGCCTTGTTCCTTGAACTTGATTGTCCGATGTTGTCGAGCTAGCTACCTTGGCGGTGCCACAAATGCTTCTTCGCAGCCTGAGGCATTAACAGTTATCAGGCACTAGCCACCCTAATCCGATCACGTGGCATGCATACTGAAGGCTAAACAGTAAAGCAGGCATTGTGAGTGGATGCCCATACTTGCAGTCTGCTTGCACTTGGAACGTTAAAGACGTTACAAAGTATGACCCTGTTTCACGTAGAAAGCGGGCGGAGAATCGCACATCTCTACCTCAATAGGCAGGAGGCGTTTAGGTGGGATGAAGCCGTGACAGATGAACACTAGTTGGTCAATTGTTGAGCCAGCGTCACGGCTGTAATGGTAGTCATCTAGTGATTACTGGGTCTCTGTGGTCGTTCAATTGTTGTAATTAGGACTGCAATACGGGATAATATCCGGTTCCTGATCCTGAGTCGAGGAGCACAAAGGAAAAGAAAGAGTGTCAAGTGGATGGAGAAGAGTGGGGGGCGGGTGACATCATCTGCACTGGGGCGGTGCAAGATGGCATTAAGCAATTCCCCCCAATGGGCCTGCTGCCCTTCTGTCTCCCTCTGGCTGCTCGTTTCTCCCACCCCCGTGTTTCGGCTGTCCCGTCTCGACCAGCTGCAATCTCTCCTGCTGGCTGGCCATCTCTCCCATCCCATTCTTTTACCCCCAGCTGTACCTCCGACCTTGCAATGGCCGCCGAAGAAGATCCGCTCATTCAGGCCCTGCCGCCGGCCACTGACTACCTCACCTATCTCACCCTCCTCGAATACCAACTCACCCCCGCCCGCCTTCCCATCCTCCACAAGCTCCTTCAGGATGAAGTCCTGACGACTAACATCGGCTGGGACTTGGTGCAGCTGTTGCTGCCCATGTTGCCCCAATCCCTCGATTGCCTGCACGACATTGCCCGCCTGGGCAACCCAAGAGAGGTGCTATTGCGAGTTTCCGATGCGCTCATGCAGTTACAGCCCGAGGACGAGGATGATGATAGCGACGATGGCGCGGCTAAGGCTGATGAAGCGTCGCAAGATGCTACGGACGGCGCATCGAAAAATGTGGCCCTGCCGCGCCATATCTTGCAGTTCAATACTCTGATCTCGATGCTATCGGTTCTCCATTCCCGTATCCAGACCAAATCCCCAAGTCGGTTCCTAGCGACATCGCTGCAGGCTGTACTGGAGGCATATACCCTCATGCCTACGAACGAGACAACGTATGCGATGCTGGAGTTTTTCAGAGACGTCTCGCCATCCAAGAGGCCGGCACCGCCACCCAGAGTGCCCAGCGAGTCGAGCGTGCTGCGTCTTTCGGAGAAAACAGCACCGGATCCGGAAGCAGAGGTCCAGACCCCTTCCCCGGCAAGCGATGATGAGTCGGTTCTGGTTCAGAAGTTTCTACAATTCGGTCTCATCGAGGTTCTCAAGTCATACCTGCTGAGCTTCACTGGGCCGTCAGACCCGGGTATGTCCTGGGCGATTAGACTGCAGGAGAAGTTGCAACCCGGTCTGCGTCTGGCCAAGCAGGAGACACCGAGCGATGCATTTGCCAGTCATAAAGAGCTGAAAGAGAGGGACATGATCATTGCCAAGATCACGGTAGGTTACCAACAACCTGCTATCTGGGTTTCACTAACGGCCGCAGGCTCTATCCCGAGATTTTGGTCTCAATGACCAGAAACTGCTTGAAATTGCCCTTCAATCCCCGAAGGACCAGCCTCTTCCTCTAGACTTCGAGGAGCCGCCCAAGAAGGCGGATGAGATTCCGTTAGAAAGACACGGCTCCTTGTTGCTGCTCGCGGCGCGGGCGGCTACCGCAGAACTGTTCTCCTCTGGCCAAGTCAGTCCGATCGCCATATTCCCTGACTTGGCACGGATCTTCCAGAACTTCGTCGGAGGATACAATTCTCCAGACGAAGTGGCATTCGGACAGCCCCAAGTGCTGCTGGACTCTCTGCTCACGCTGACGGTCTTTTCCATGCAAAAGCCAAGCGAGACGACACCCCACGAGAAGGACTTCATTGACTTTGTGCTGACCTTGACTGCTTGCACTGCGCGTCAAAATTATAGCTCCGTCCGACGCATTCCTGGAACGATCATCCGGACGCATCCATCGCAGGTCACCCAGTTCAAAGTGATCCGAACCGTTTTGGAAGACGACCGCTTCCAGAGCGTCAAGGATAGTGCGATTGGATGGCTCAAGACGGGTATCCTTGAAGCAGCAAACTCGTCCAAGGCTGGCACTTCAGCAGAGCCCAGCGTCTACCTCGACCCGCACTACTTCTCGGTGCTGTTCCCTTCGCTCTTCAATTCCTCCGACTTGTTCATGAACGTGTCATCCGACCTCGTCGCTTCCTTCATAAAATTCTCCCAGACTCTATCCCCCTCCATCCATGCGGCTCTCAGCCTCTACTACACCATCGTATCTTCAACACACCTGCGCAAGCAGCTCCAGCTCGAAAAGACCTACGTCTACTTCCGCAATCGCTTCCTCGAGCCCCTCAAGTCCCTCTGCCATGCCTTCGAAGCCGACCTGGCGCAAAACGGTGGCGACGGGAAGATCGAGGCAGCAGTCGGCGAGAGCCTAAGCCAAGTCGGAATGGCGCGCTCGGTCGGCTTGATCTCATACATGCTGGAACAAGTCGAAGACGCGGTCGGAGAGACTTTTGTGGATGAGTCGGACATGCCGGAGCCGAGTGCGGACGATATCGCGCGGGTGGATATGATTCGGAAGGAGACGTCTCCTTGAACGAGGGTTCTGTACATAGTTGATTCCGGCCTGAGGAATTCAATGTGCAGGCCTATTGATACCTCTTGCTATATGATGAGATAGAGCTAGTGGCTAAATACATGGAAGCGGCTGCTTATGTTGATATTTGAAAAACATTCCATTGTGCACCATTAAATTACTGATGATACTATCACTAAACGAAGACAACTACAACTACACAATACACTACTACCTTCTCTCCCCTTCAGACTACAAAGCTACAATCTCATCCACCCCCCTTCCGAACAGGAACCCCATCCTGCACCTCCCCAAAGTCCCCCAAATCCCACTCCCCCACACAGGTAAAGTCATACTCCGCCTTCCGAAGACTATCCCTCTGCGCCCGCAGAAACGCATCCAGCTCGCACCACCCATCACTCCGAAACGAACACTCAGGAAGACTCTGATGTAGCGGCACCGTGCGCTGATTAAGCAGGAAATGCACGTACCCAGTCTCCCCTGTATCTTTCATATAGGTATCCTGATGAGGATCATGGGTACGATGCGGGTTGATCTTATGTGGAGCGCGGATGATCTCGATGTTAAGACGGCCGGCGAAGGGGATGATTTTTGCTGTTTGGAAATTGTGGTCGCGGGGTAAGTGAGTCTCATTCGTATCAGTGTAATCTGGGAATGGGAGGTCAGCGAACTGTCGTAGTCCGAAGGCAGTGAGGACACCAAGGAGGATCTTGTCGTGGACGAAGTCGAAGTAGAGGGATTGGTTTGTGGGGAAGGTGGTTGGGTTGGTGTTCAGGGTGAGATTCGCGGCGGAGGATGATCCCTCTGTTGAGAATGAGCGGTTCTCGACGCGTGCGAGGAACTCTTCTACCCAAGTGATGCCCATTGCGCGACTGATGGGACATTGAAACCCTGCGTTGCCGCCGAAGGTGAGGTCGTAGGTGTAGGAGAAGCCTTTCCATTCGGGGAAGGTGAAGAGGGCGCACCAGGGGCTGTAGCCGAGGGCGACGGTTTCGTAGGCGCATAGGGTTTGCGCGGTGAAGGTGTCGTTGGTGGTCCAGTGGTAGTTGGTGGAGAGGTGGTTGAGGTGGTGGGTGCGGTGGGCGAGGTAGTGGGATTTCCATTTGGTGACGGTGTTGGATACGTAGTCGTCAAAGGAGATGTTCATGGCGTTGGGACAGGCGTTTTTGGCTTGCAGGGAGGTGTTGAAGTTCTGCTCTTCGATCATGGCGAGTAGGTTTACGTGCTCGTCCCAGTCGAGGTGGAAGAAGCCCGCGAGGAAGTTCTCGGCGCTTTTGAGCATGCGGTCTTGAGTGGTGGTGCGGGCGACGATCTTGGTTCCGGGGGTGTAGAGATGGCCGTAGTTGAAGAAGTTGAGAATGCCGCTTTCTAGGAGGTCTTCTCGGCCTCGCGGGGTGAGGATGTTGGCGCCGAGGGTGTAGGTCCAGTTGTGGATAAAAGAGAGTTCGTCGTAGAAGATGGCGCCGTGGAATGTAGCGTTGGTGAGGGCCTTAGCCCAGTTGGCGAAGTCGTCGCCTTCGTCTTTGTTGGGATAGCGTGACCCGTGTCGGTGCAGCATGTGCATTTGCGTGATGTTTGAGCCTCTGGGGCGTGGGTATTCGTCTACACCGAATCCGTCGGATCGGGGGTAGTAGGGACTGTCGGGCTATGTAGCCGCTTGTTGGAAGTGAGACACAGAGTGAATTTACCTCAAGATGCCCATGTGGTGGAAGATATTGCGGTCTTTGGCTCCGTGGATAGGCTGCGATGTCTCCAGCGGATGGTTGGCTGTGTAGGTGGCCGGGTTGCCAAAGGGAGCAGGGTTCGTCTGCGCCAGAAACGGCGCAGCCCCGGTCGCCGTGTATCCTGAACTGTTAGTCAAGCAAGCGAAAAGGGAGAGGCGCACACCTGGGAAGCTTTGCGGTCGGGTTTTGAACCATTCTGGCTCTGTGGTGGTGGGTGCCACTCCTATCACATACTGATCGTTGGCCGAGACATGCGAGACAAGGAGCAGAGGGAGAATTGGCCAGCAGATGAAGAATCTCATTTTGCAAGAAGCATCATTTTGGAGGCGTTGATGAAGATAAATTCAGGGTAGGTATTATAGCCAAATTTGTAAGGAGTAGTTATTTACGTCAGTGCATCTGCCATGTAAGTACCCTGGAGCCGGGTGCGAGGGTCATTGTCACTAATCCTGGTTGGCACTTGGCATCTATGTCTAACTCCAGATATGACGAGGATCGAGTACCGAGATAGAGGGGAATGCGATATATTGGAAACTTGATTCGTGTGAACCGTGGATGGCGTCTCCGCACTTGGCTATCTTACCTCACCATCTGGTCAATGCTCGTTCCTGTTATCATTCGATCTCCAATCAGACATGAAAACACCGTCCGACTAAAGGGTGATTCTGCAACTTAGAGGTGGCTGTGATACAGTATAATATTGACTACCTTCAACAATCTCAACAATCTTCGATAAAAGGTGCTTTTGGTAAACTGCCTAGTCTATTTTTGGCTTTAGAAGAATGACAGCTTTAGTACAAAATGCCCCGCCGCTCCGTTAGGGCAACCCGAAGGGCCCAGGTGCGGGGCTGCTCAGGGCTGATCCTCAGGCCCCAACGTTGAGAGCCAGTCTACTTGGCACTGGCATGCACACTAGTTAATTAAGCCTTGCAGCTGACCAAGCGTGTTATAATCCGGCCCCCATTCTCATTCCAGGTGGCATCTGTCATTTCAAGGTTTGAACTGAGGTCTTTTCCCTCAAAGAAACCGCCTGGAACCTACATGAACAGGCCTATGCAGTGGCATTCCATAACGCACACCGGTAATTCGTCAAATCACCAATATGGATCTTTTTCACTCGGCAGGGTTTGCGTCAGATGTGAGAGAGTTGATGAATCGGCAGCATGTCCCGGGGCTGGCGATTGCCATCGTACACAATGATCAAATTGCCTCTGCGGGATATGGACATGCGAGCCTGGATCCCGAAATACCTTGTACAGCAGATACGCTGTTTGACATTGCATCGTCTGCTAAATCACTCACTGCTGCGGCGGTGGGATTGCTAGTCGACGATAATGACATGTTCCCGGATATTCAGTACGATGCCGTCATGTCGACTCTTCTCCCCGAGGACTTTGTTATGTCTGGAGAAGCATACACAGAAGGAGTCACCGTGGAAGACATCTTAAGTCATAGAAGTGGAATGCCTGGGTGAGCTAATATTTCTCGAATTCCTTGTTTGACTTCAAGACTATTCATATTGCGCCAGCCATGACGATTCGTATATGAGTGTGCGAGCGGCGAAGCCGGACAATGCTCGATCCATTACGAGAAACCTCAGGAATCTCCCTGTCGCGGCCCCCATTCGATCAAAGTATATTTACTGCAACATGATGTATACAGTGGCAACCCACCTTGTGGAAGTCAAGAGCGGACAGGATTTTGGTACATTCCTCGAAGAGCGATTTTTCAAGCCTCTGGACATGGCATCAACTACTCTTCAACCCAGCAGTGCACGATCAAAAGGATTTGGATCCCGCATGGCAATTGGCTACACATGGAAAAGGGCCGGCTCAACATACCGTGGGTTAGAAAGTCCAGACTACCCAGAAGGCCAAGGCGCAGGGTCTATCATTTCGAGCGTGAACGACTTCATCAAATTTGTCAAGGCTTTCATGAATCGCGAAGACCCTATCAATAAAAATGTTTATGAAGGGCTCACTCGCCTGCGAACTTTTGTGAATCCAAACCCAGGAAGACGGAAGCGGTACAGCTCACCGGTAGCATATGCGGCTGGCCTGGATATCTACTTTTACAAGGGACATATGGTTGTCGGCCATAATGGGGTATTCTCTGGATTCGCAAGTCGTTTCTTCTTTCTTCCTGATTTCTCATTCGGTGCCGTGATCATGGGAAACGCAGATGGGGTAAGCGGCATTGCGTCGACCCTTGTCCAAAAGCTAATTGACCATATCCTTGGAGTCACGGACGAAAAACCTCAGGACATCAAAAGCAAAGACACACGATCTGTTGAAATTCGCGGTCCAAAACCCCAGGCCGAGGCGAAAGACGCAAATCCAATGAGTAAGAACCAGGAAAAGAAGGAGAAGAAAAAGCAGGAAAAGAAAACCCAAGCGAAGAAACGTCCAGGTATCCAGAAGGGCCAAGTGAACGAGCAAAAACCAAAACGGAATACTCCGCAGCCACCGACAATACCCCTCAGTGCTTACGCTGGCAACTACTGGAATCCTGGGTATAGTAACTTACTGGTTCAAATCAGAGATGATGCGCTCTTCATCGATGCTACAGATCGCTCATTGGGGTTTACCTTGAAATTCGAACATGTGTCCGATGACCGAAAATTCGATGCTCATCTTACTGATTGGCTCGATGGCAGTGATGACATCGTCAAAGCGGAGTTTGTGATAGAAGATGCTCAAGTCACAAGGTTGGGTCTGCAGTTGGAGGAAATGCTCAAGGAAATGATCTGGTTCGAGAAGAAGGATGGACTGCGCAGCGGTGCGGCCGGGGTTCAAAACCCGCTTTTCGGTGGTGTTGGTGCCTGAATGTGTCTTATAATGCCTTGAATTAGAACGGCAGGAACATTAAGAGACCTTCCGACCGATCGATGAAAAAGCGGTGGCTTGGAGAAGCTGCTTGTGGATCTTCAGGAATCGCATGGTCGCAGGAAAATACGGTCCACTTTTAGAAAAAAAAAATAGCATGTACGGGAAAGCCCGAGGACTGATGGTCAGTCAATAAATGGCTGCAAGATAGCTACCGGCCCCTTGGTTCAATCTAATCGAATCGTATCACCGACATGCGACATATGTCTGGAATGTATCCACGCAAATATAAACTTCATATGAAGCCTCACTGCTGTGGCTCAGTCATCATTATTGGAAATGTGCGTAAGATGTGCATCTTGCTGCAGCCCAGACAGAGCAATTTGCATAGCGTCTTGGATCGTGGCTTGGTCAGGCTATGGGGGGTAGGAAGAGTCGGAGCTAAGATCTGCCTGATCGTGGTTGGAACAGTCGATCGAGTTCATGGCGATGAAGAAGATGTGGGACATGCTAAATTGGCGCTACGTGACTCGCTATCCTCGTCTTTTGGGCTTGGATTGCTTGTTTCCTTACTTGCTGCA